CGAAGACGAAGAAGCTGTACAGTCCGAGTTACAAACTCTGCAGAAAGAAGCAGTATGTGCTATTATTTCGCAGAAAATGGAGCGTATCACTGAAACAATGCAGGTTGTACCACAGGCACCTGAAGCCCCCATACAGCTGCCTTCCGCACCAACAAACGAGCCCGTCGCTTCGATACCTGAAGGTAACAATTTTTACTTGACCAAGATCTTAAAGGCTCATTCGCACACACAGAGACGGAGACAGAGACTACAGAAAGAGAGCGTATAGCAGTCGCAGCATGATACTGTACACGTTTAGCCATATATATCGTGCATATTGTAAGATATTCGTAATTGTAATCTACCATCCTTCAAAACTCCCAAATCCAATTTTCCGCTTCTTCTTCGAGTAATCTAGGATGCCAACATCGTCCTTCAATTTTGTCAGCTGCTCAGGCGCAGGCCTTTTCACACCCCCTGAGCTCAGGTATTTACCAACTCCACCGCCAACTCCAGAGCTAAAACTCTTCGCTTCAATACCTACCTTCGTGCCGAACCAGTTGATGTCATCGCCGTCCCTTTTATCAGCGGGTCTGTTGCCCGTACGTGCAGCTTCTTCCGCTTCAGCCCTTTTTGTCAACTTCTTCTGCTGGCGAATCTTGTACTCCTCAAATGGATCCTGATATCTGAATGATAAATGGAAGTGTAAACAACCAACAGTTCCCAGCAGAAGGCAAAACATACATGATAACTTCAGTAATCCTCACCGGCTTTGCTGGTCTCTCCGTCCCTGTTTTGATGGGCAGCGCTTCCAAAGCATCCAACAAATCTTCACCACCGACTAGCTTGCCGAACACAGTATGTTTCTTGTCCAAGTGTGGCGTCGCTCGGAAAGTAATGTAAAATTGAGATCTGTAAAATGATATTGTAAGCGACTGCCAACTGATCTCAACCGGAAACATACCCATTCGTTGCAGGTCCCTTATTTGCCATCGCAATAACACCACGAGAATCATGTTTTGCTGCATTTCGCATATCATGTTCGTCTCGGAATGGTGTACCCCAGCAAGATTCTCCACCAGCACCCGTACCAGTCGGGTCGCCTGTTTGGATCTAAGAAGCCCACAGTTTCAATATTTTAGGGCACAAGGCGGAGCACCAGCCTACCATAAACTCAGGAACAAGGCGATGAAATAAACAATTGTTGTACTTTCCCGCCTTCGCAAGCTGCAAGAAGTTGTAACATGTCTTCGGAGCCTGTCCAAGCTAGTTAATAACACAAACGCAACAGAAATCAACATACACCAACCTTCTCGCAATACAACTCCAAATTCAAGCTCCCTCCACTCAGGGTTGTGACAACACGAACATATGCACGACGTTTTCCCACATCCTTCTCCTTGCCCTTGCCTTTAGGCGGATTAGCAAAATCGTCAAACATAAGCTCCTCCTGCAATCACACCGTTAAACTCAGTCTTACGAGTTGGTCCTAGCAACTGACCTCGTCCCATACAAGTTGTGACGTTTTAGTTTGCGGGTCGATTGATGTTGACGTCAACGAAGCACCCGGCAGCCCAGTAGAGTAAGGCGAAATATTCCCTAGTGATGTATTTGAGCAAGCTATGTCATAGACACCAAGGTGAGCATACATGGCACTGCTTTGGCTTTCGACCCTGATGCGTCCAAGTTGGTATCTGTTGCCTTTGATCCTGTAGGCTTCGCCTTGTCCGTCGCTTTTTCTACGATTTTGCGAGGAATGACTGCAGAGGGCATTGCATGAGGATTCTGTAAAGTAATGATATCATCCCTGAGCAATACCGTTAGATGGACGTTTCAAACACTAATAAATATACGTACTTTCTGAACTTCGCATCAGCCACCAAATCACGACCGCCTTTCACGCTCTCAGCGAGGAACACATTGCCAGTTGTCGCAATGGCCACGATATGCGAATGTTCACTGAACGGTTTGAATGAGATAGGGTCGTGAATCTCTCCAGACGGCTTGCGAGAGTAGTTGAGAGTGATCAGGTCTGACGGGCTGAGTGGGCCCTGGGTGATTGGGTTGGTGTTGTTGTGTTGCCTTATCATAGTAATGTCGTTAGAACGGAGAGATGCTTATGGATAATGATCACCGACTTTAGCCATGGGATAATGTTGACAAGATCGAACACGAGGCCAGTTCCGTCAGGATTGCGAGCGCATACCGGATGATTGAAAGGTTGAAATGAGAGCGCACAACAATCAAAAGGTGTCGTTGCAGCGGGATGAGGTGCCTGGCTCTTTCTGCATGAAAACAAAAACAAAAGAAAACATGAAGGACTTGGGCCTTAACAAGGAATTAGCTCACACTTTGAATCCAGCAGAGGAAGCGGTATGTTGACCAAACATGCCGGTATGTTCGGCATGAGTGACATAGAGCTTGTCCGAATTACCGTGTCCCATGTTGAGTGAGTTGAAACGATGCGTTGTCTGCGAGAGAACTCAGTGCTACCGTCTTTAGTAGTGGATGCCGACCCCGAAATGCTGAGGTCATGCGAGACTCGATCTCGGTGACAAGCGCCTGCCTCCCCTGGCACTAAGTGCAGACATATGTGGCTCTATGTGGCTTCACTGATTTACATCCACCGCATCTCTGTCTCAATTATCCAAAAAGGGACCAGTGCATCCTAACTTCTTTTGTGTGAGTTACACTTGTGTTATTTGATGCCCTCTTCGTTGAGAGCCAAGGTGTCTTTTCAGTGTGTGCGCATTTGTTCATTTGCTTATGATACGACATGCAACGCGCGGGGCGACTGCCACACTAGACCTTGACTTCCTCGCATCTCGTATTGTCCCATGGAGGTCGTTCTCCCAGCGATCCTCTACACCACTGAAGCTGAAGGTTCTTGCGGATGATGACCAAGTCGTGCCGTCGCTACCCTCTACGTCTTCCTCCGCTGTCGATCCTGCCCGGTTGATCAGTAAACTTGATCTCCAACTACAGCAATTCCATGGTGTACGCGTCGGCAAACTCACCGATTCTCAGGTGGAACTCTTCAATCGAGCAATATTATCATTACGGGCTGCCACACAACCAGCTGATCTTCGCAAAGCATGGACAGTTTGGGGGGAGCTAAAGAAAAGACGCATGCTTCAGTTCTTTGGCCCGTCGCAGTATAATATGTGCTCAAGGATCATTCTAGCTGTGTGCGAGGATGCCGATGCACGCGATACTTGGGAACAGCTGGACAGGAACGCTGTGGAGGAGATTGCGGTTGGTGCCGCTGCCGGGGGTTCCACTGACGGGCTCAAAGCATACATGCTCTCCTCTATCAGACGGAATGATCCAGCTATCGTTCATAAACTGTACGAACGTTATCGAGCGGTCCTGGGAGAGAAGGTATCGTGGAGGGACGTTGACGATATGGAGGCCGATGAAGGAGGCAGTTTCAATGCCTCGGATTCATTTCGATTTTCTGCTGAAACACTGGTTCGAGGAGATATTCTGCTCGCTGAAGTCACCGCTCATGCCATGCAAAACGATTTCGCTGCTGCATTTCGTTCATGCTTGCAAACATCCATCCGCCTTTCTCCCCACGGTGTGAAAGGGTTCCTCGAACAACTGAACTCTGACGACCTGCGTCAAAAGGTAGCTGAATATGTTCGCCGCCTTGAAGTTGCAAGACTTGTCGCGCGTCCCGCCGCCTTCTCAAGACAGCTCGCCAATCTTACTAGAGACAACGCGTCCCTTTTGTTGGAGAAGTTGTATGCGGCCATAATAGAAGGCTTATTGGGTCATGACCCGTGGTTAACCGTGGCGAATACAGATATTGGAAGAGGCAGCTTGATTCCTATACCTGAATTCGCCTGGGCGTCATTTATCACTGGCTTCATGCGATGTCGAAGGACGGACCTCGCGGAAAAGCTGTGGGACGACATGGTCCGGTTTGGGGTGCAGCCTACTGTGGCCATGTGGACAGCTCTCATCGATGGTTATGGAGAATTGAAGGCGGTCAAACAGGTCCTCAGTACATGGGATATCATGTGCCAACAGGGTATCACACCCGACGCCATGGCATACCGTGCTCTCATACATGGGCTTTACCACGCAAACCATCCCCAGGACGCGTTTCGCGAATTTCGATTGTTTCAATCCAAAGTTTCAAAGTCACCTCTGAGTTTCCAAGAGTCTGCCGTCCGCGTCGTATACAACACAGTGCTTCACGGTCTTCTCTTCCAGTCCTTGGAGCCTGAGGCCAATGCTGTACTTGACAACATGCAAGCAAAGGGACCCAAACCTGATATTGTCACTTTCAACACATTTCTACGATACTATGCACGACAGAATCAGCTGAAGGCGTTCGCCAACGTGTTGGACACAATCGAACGCACGGGCTTGGTCGGGGATGTATTCACTTTTTCGATCGTCCTGTCAGCTCTCCTCAAAATTCGAGACGATGCTCCTCAGATCATGCTCAACCTAATGGCAAAGCACGGTGTTCAGCCAAATGCTACCACGTTGACTGCGATCATTGATCACCAGATGAGGACCCAGACAGACGATGGCTTACGATCCGCTCTACAGCTACTTACTAAGATGGAATTGAACGAAGTTCCGGATGCACAGCCGAACGATATCACTTACACAAGTATCCTATCGGGCATTCACCGCGGCAAGTGGCTTAGACGGGAAGCAGCGGAGGAATATAGACGACTTATTTGGGGCAGAATGCGGGCACGCGACATTACGCCCAAAAGGACGACATACAATATTCTCATCAAGGCCTGTCTGGAGAACTCCCAACCTGAGGGCGTGTTGGACGCGATGCGGTACTACAGGGATATGGTGAGGCGCAGGATCTCTATGAGCAATGATACGTGGTATATTATATTGCACGCTCTGGTCAGTCGGGGGGAGTGGGCGTTGGCGAACGAGTTGGTAGAGGACATCCAGCGAAGCGGGTTTACACCGGCTGGGGCACTCTTAGATCTAATGATGCGGGTAAGGAAACACATGGCTCAGAAGGCAAAGCTAGGACCAGCTGGTTACATTTAAAATACAACGCACCGTCATGTGCAGTAGCGCCGACATGTTCACCTTTGCTCCCCAAGAAAGAACGACTTGCCCAATCCAAACCTAAGGTAGCGCGCGTATGCTATCCAAATACAAAGTTAAGCCGTGCAGACGGGCTAAGGCGAGGGCGAGCGGGCATACCCCAGTAGCTCCATTTTCGGCCCAGCCACCTCCCGAGAATCGGTAGGAGGATGAAGGAGACGAGCTGCTGCAATTGAGCCATGCTCTCATTCCATTCCTGCTCAGCGATACGCTCCTCTTCTTCTATGTCGTACGAGTTATCCGAGGAAAGAGAGATGCTGTCGAGGGACGCAACCGACCGCGGCATAGCGTGGAGGTGATGTACTACTAGGAGTCGATACGTATGAACTGTGCCACAGCCGGGATCTACTTATTTGGCAATATAGCCGTTCGGCCGGGAGTCTCCAACCCACGCCGGAGCTGTTCAGCAGTGCGCTCGCCCGCTATCACTCCAGCTTTCCTTCTCCCCTCAATCTCTCCTCCAGATGCACCATGGAGGCCGCAAATTACCGCTCACGACGCAGGCTAGTGGGCCAGCCCCTACTTTACGCTATTTCCGTCTTCGCTAGCCTGGGCGTTTTCCTTGTAAGTTGCCAGCAGCGTAATTCATTGTTTTTACATGCCTCATCATATATCCCATTACCTTAGTTCGGATATGATCAAGGGTAAGTACTCCTGTGGTCATGGCCATATACCCATTTGACTGACTATCAATACCACCAGTGTCATGTCCGGAGTAATTACAGGACCGCACTTTCGGAAATTCTTCAATAGTCCGGGCGCGATTGAGGTTGGGACTATGGTGGCTGTTCTAGAGATTGGTGCCTTCAGTACGTCTCGCTCCAGACAAGTCTAATCTATGCTGATGTGTTGCCAGTCACATCCGTTGCTGCCGGGAGAGTGGGCGATTTACTTGGTCGCAGAGGGACACTCTTTGTTGGTGCCATTATTTTTGCTGTCGGCGGTGCCATCCAGACCTTCACACCCGGATTTTGGGTGATGGTAATGGGTCGGATTGTTGCCGGTTTTGGCGTTGGGCTGCTATCGTGCGTCTGTTGTCTCTTCCTACTACTTGGTCTTATTGCCGGTAATTTTACCTGTACATCAGAACCATCGTCCCTATATATCAGAGTGAAATCTCCCCACCCGATCATGTACGTGCACTGATGCTGTCGAGTTTCATTTCACCAACGTGCTTGTCCAGAGAGGCGCTCTTGCGTGCATGGAGTTCACCGGGAATATCGTCGGCTATGCGTCCTCAGTGGTATGTTGAGTTTATGATGTTGATCTTCTCCGAAACTTATTGTTTGTATGTTAGTGGATAGATTACTTCTGTTCATTCATCGATTCTGACCTTTCTTGGCGAATACCTCTCTTTATACAATGCGTAATCGGGGCCATCCTGGCAGGTGGTTCCCTCCTCATGCCCGAGAGTCCACGGTAAGCGAGGACTGTTCTGATTGATTGTACATGCCTTGGCCTCTGATAATGTCCATAAGGTGGCTTATTGACACAGACAAAGACACTGAAGGCTTGCAGGTTTTAGTCGACTTGCACGGCGGTGATCCGGACAATGAAATTGCGAATGCCGAATTCGAAGAAATCAAAGAGAGGGTTGTACTTGAGGTGAGCTATAATAATCATCACGCAAGCGTGTGTTCGTGCTCAATGGATCTCAGCGTGAGAGTGGAGAGGGCCGTTCGTACGCCGTGATGTGGCAAAGGTACAAACGTCGAGTCTTGCTTGCGATGTCCTCTCAGGCATTTGCTCAACTTGTATGTATGCGTCATTGGGTTACATCTGGAGCACTCACTCTATTTGTTCGTCCCTTAGAATGGAATAAATGGTGGGTATTTCTCCCTTCCTCAGTATCTCGTACACTAAAATCTTTTGCCATAGTAATTTCGTACTATGCTCGTAAGGCCAAATCCATGTATCATTATTGTTTGTTAATTTGTTTTGTTTATATCAGCTCGAGTATTTGAAGGTAGGATTTCCGTACTCGACGCGAAGATTAACTGATACCTCAAATAGAGGCTGGGTGGCTTGGTCGTGATGCCATTTTAATGACAGGCATAAACGCGATAATTTACGTTTTAAGTACAGTGCCGACGTGAGGATTTCTACGTCTCCCTTAAGCGAACGCTCAACGTGTCTAGATGGTATCTGGTGGACCGATTGGGCCGGCGCCCAATCCTGTTATCCGGCGCAGTGGTGGTGGGTTTTACTACGTACTTTCTAGGACTTAACATACCATCCACATGTTTTAGATGGCATTTGCTTTGGGCCTCACAGGTTGGTGGATGTACATCGACGTTCCTGAAACACCTAAGGCAGTTGTTGTCTGTGTGATTATTTTCAACGCTGCATTCGGCTTTAGGTCAGCCCTCTTTTCATGTATACTCTTCTCATCTCATATATTCATTCTGCACAGTTGGGGCCCAATCCCGTGGCTTTTGTGAGCTTGAATTAAGACCGTGTCGTTTTATTGACATTTGTACTAACGCGTCACAACAGCCCTCCAGAGATCTTGCCCCTTACTGTTCGCGCCAAAGGTGTCTCAATATCAACAGCAACGAACTGGGCTTTCAACTTCTTAGTTGGAGAAATTACTCCGTTTTTGCAAGAACATATTGAATGGCGGCTATACCCAATGCATGGATTCTTCTGTGTTTGTAGCTTTGTCGTTGGTCAGTACCGGTCAGTCTCATGTCGTGTGAGCTGCTATCTAATTCTTCTTTTTCGTTCAGTGTACTTCCGTAAGCGATGGCCTTCACGCTAGCCAATCAATATCTTACGTTTTAACAGTGTATCCTGAGACTAGAGGAGTGCCGTTGGAGGAAATGGATGCTGTATTTGGTGAAGGTAAACGGGCTTTTCCGATTAGTAGAGTGCATTCTATACTGATGATTATATCACAGATGAACTTGAGGAGCGACTGGAAAACGAAGAATCCGAGCGGGCATCTCTTGTGTCTAGACGCTCGTCGCGCAGCAGACGGTCCGGCGTATCGAGGTCGAAGCCCTCTTCGCAAGGACCAGGTGTACTGGGCAGGTTGCTCGGCCGATCAGAACGTTCGAGCTACCAGCCCATACAAGATGCTGACGAATAGGAATTGTCGAGGATGGACCATGAAGAAGTCGGGGAATGCCACAATTCTCCTATTGCCCCTAATGAAGAGATCATACATGCTTGACGAGGTATGCGGTGGTGGCGTGATAGTTGTGGCTCGTTCCTCGGCTCTTTTGTGTCTCATCCTCACCCAGTCTACGCTATCACAGTCATCTAGCCGCATTCTTCCTTTCAATGATCGTATAATTGCCTAGCCTATAAATAGTATATCAGCCCATATGGGCTTGATGGTCATATGCACATCCGTCCTATCGTATGTATGTCACAGTGTAGAGCAACATAAAACTGGCTGCGTTTATGTCACAAAACGCTTGGAGTCACATAATGATAAGTAGGTGTGAAGAAGGCTCTAAGCGCGCATCTGTGACAAGTTGTGCTACCTGTCCCGGACTCTATGAGACATTTCTCGCCGTCGACTGTCTTTGCGCGGTGTTCAGTCTATATATCTGCGCCCTCTCGATCAAGATCCTGTCGTTCATATGTCCGCGATGCTACGAAATGTGACACTGTGGGCCGGGTTATTATCTATGAGCCTCCAGACTCATATGCGGGTTCCGACGGTCGAATTACTTTCGACCATCTTGGGATCCGCGCAGAGATAGTGAAGGTGCTGAATGAGGCTTTCCCCTCAGTCAAGCATCCCACGACAACTCAACAGCTGCTTATTCGAGCCATTTTATCCAATAAAGATGTTTTGTTGAAGGATCATACTGGGACGGGGAAGTATGCCTGTACAATCTTCACGTAGTTTTGGTAACAGAATTAACCATAACTTATTGCGTCACTAGGTCTTTTGGTATACTTCTTGCCCTGCTGAACAATGCTTTCAAGGCCTCAATCCATGATGGCGGCTCAAAATCGAAGAGCAAATCGAAATCTATCACGTCACTCGTCATTGTTCCTCACCGAGATCTGGCATACCAGTTCATTCACTGGGTTGAACGTATCCACAGCTACTTGCCTCGAGCGGATCCAATTGCTTCCATCGTCCAAGCTGTCGTTCGAAATGCAGCCGATCCGCTTCCGGAGCAAATTTTGCATCTAAAGGAGCATCCACCCCGCATACTCATTGGCACGCCTCCTGCTTTACTCGATCTAATACAAGAAGATGCATCTGCACTCATATTTGACAAGCTGTCGACAGTCGTCGTAGATGAAGTGGATTATCTAGTGGAGTCCTTCCCGAGGAATATGGACAAATACGCTCGATTGAAAGCGCGAAGACAGCTGCTGAAGCATCCGAGTCTCACTCGTCAAATTCTAAACAAGATCTATTGCATTAACAAGTCAGTATCGAACAAGAAGTCACAAACAGATTCAGATCCATCTTTTCATTCGAACGTCGGTTTGGATCGGCCCCAATTAATTATGGCGAGCGCGACATTCCGTGTACCCTTGCGACATTTCGTTCTCGTGCGAAGCGGATGGTTTCCAAAGAGTCGGGATAACTTGATTCGCATTATGGGATCATCGGTCCCGGATAATTTGGTGAAACCTTCCACTGAGGACGTTGCGCGTCATTCACTTGGCGGTTCATTCATTCAGCACCATGCTCTAGTGGTTTCTGAGGATGGGAGCATAAAAAACATCACTGGTGCTGCTGATCCGCCTCAACCAGAAGATACCATGTCGTCGGATTCATCAATATCGGGTCACACCATCACAGTCAATGCAACAGCATTGTCTCCACCAGACAGCGGTATAAACGAGGACCACATGGACTTTGAGAGTATAGGCGGTGCGTGGCGTGGAGACTTCGCCGAATTTATGTCTGATTATTCTTCCGATCACCCCAGATGACATTGTTGTTGAGTCTCTTCCGTTCAAATACAATATGTTAGAGGCTGTCAGCGAGGCATTCGCGTTGGATGTGCCTCGGCTCGCTCTTCTTGTCTTGCCTGCTTCAGCGCCGCTGAGGCGAGTCGTGACTGCCCTGTGTGAGTTTGGTGTAGATGCACGCAATCTGGACATCTTTCAAGAGGAGGCTAGAAGCGGGTACCTTTCGCAAGAAACTTCCCGACCTCCGTCAGACAATCCGACACTGTTGGTTGGCACCTTAGCGTCAATACGAGGACTGGATCTTCCAGAGCTGACACACGTTTTCATCCTCGGGCTGCCTGAGGACCGTCCGGTTGATACTTACCTGCATGCTGCAGGGCGAGTGGGTCGCTTTGGGCGTGGGGGGAAGGTCATCAGTGTCTTATCAGCACGACATAAATCCAAAACAAACAAGGGCAAGTTCGGATGGAAGGATGAGCCGCAGAAGATACAGAGGATGTTCCAGATGATGGGAGTCAAGCCGATAAAACTATCACATTTCTTATAGGCACCTTCCGTGGCTTCATTATGAGCACGTTTCCGTTTTTACCTGCTGCACGAGTGTGGGATTGGAGCGGGGTCCGCAGACTACAGTCAGTCGCGACTCATGGATGCTCCAGTGCACGAGGTAGCGGCAGGGTAGCGACAAAAACATCATGTACATATGTTGGCTCAGCAGAGGACTATGCGGTGCTATTTGTTGGGAGTGAAAGACATGTGTGCGGGTGTACTACTTAGAAGGCTTGCGTGAGGAAGGTGGTGCCGATAAGTGTGACAGGATCACGTAGCGCCTTGCGTGGGGAAGCGTCCAGCCGCCACCAGTGTGCGGACTCGAGAGCCTCTGATGAATCTTGTCCGCGTCCACTGCCTGCCCACTCCCTTCCTTTCCCTTTCCCTCCTTCCCTCCTCTCCCAGCGGGCTCCTTTCCGGCTCGTCATGGTAGCCGTCATCCCCTCCCGCTGGTTCTCCGCCCTCTGGCCGTGCCTCCTCGTAGTCGTCTGTCTCTCGTCAGCTGCCTCGGCTGCCTCGCCGACCTCCACCTCGCCGACCTCTTCCTCTACCACAGCCAATTCGACGGTCACCCCCGCCCCCACCTCGTATTCCCTGGCGACAAGCTATGTTACGATCGCTACGACCATTCTCTCCAACAACCAGAACATCTCCGTATCTACCGTTCTGCCTGTCGTTTACAATGCGACCGTCACCTCAAATACAACCGCTAATGCCTCGCAGACGACCAACGGTACCACAGCCTCTGGGAGTGCAACTCCCACCCCGATCGTCTTGGACACGACGATAGACCCCGCTTTCGGCGTACTGGGAGCGTTGCTCATATTAACAGGTTTGCCCTGCGTCTTCCTTGGACACAAGAATCGCTGGACTTCGTTCTTTCTCATTGGCGTGTATTCGTTCGCTTTGGTTTGTCTTGTCCTTATCCTGCGATTCGGCGTCCTTGAAGCCGTTAATCCTCCAAGCAAGACCGTCCGCGGTTTGTTCGTCCTAGCTTGCGGCGTCGCCGGAATAGCAGGAGGAGGGATTGCAATATTCTTTTGGCAGGCTACAAAGTTTTTCATCGGCGCTTGGGGCGGGTTCGTGGTTGCCTTGTGGATACAATGCTTCAAAGCAGGCGGGCTGATATCACCGATTGGCTTCCGGTGGATTTTGTACATAAGTACGTGTGTTTCATGAGACTTCAATCATCAACTGACCTCTGCGTGAAGTTGTCGCTGCAATCGGTTTTATACTGTGCACAATTCCGAAGATCCACTATCATATTCTGTTACTGTCAACCGCTTTTGTGGGCGCTACTTCATTGATCTTGGGCATTGACTGTTATACAACTGGAGGGCTGAAGGAGGTGAGTGTGATCTCGGCAGTCTTACTATGAGCGCGCTCACGTTGACTTGGCGTTAGTTCTATATGTGGAATCTCGGCTTCACTTCGTTGTTCCCCAAATACACAGACAACGGTATCAAATTTCCAATCACTCAAACGATGGAAATCGAGCTTGGTCTTATGGGTGCAGTCTCCCTCATGGGTATCGCTGTTCAGTTCCAGGTGTTCAACGTACTCCGACGCAAATTAAAGGAAATTCAGGCGCAGACTCGGCAACAAGACGAGGAAGCTGAGAAGCGTGCCGCGCTTGGTCTCGCCGATATGGTGCGTGAGAAGGAGGAATGGGAACGTGACCATCCTACACTCCTAAAGCATGGCCGCAAGGAGAGTGGATTTTCGTCGCTGATGAAGGATGGAAAAGATGGAGACAGGCTGACGCCCTCTACGGATGATCATCGAGCGTCTACGCTGATCGACACGCCTCGCGAGAGGTATCAGTCTGGTGTCTCAGACTTCCTTGCCGCGGCTCGTCCATCGGAGGACATGAATCGATCCGTAACCAAGCTCTTGCAGAGCCCTGGGGCATTACCGGTACTCGATCTGGGTACTGATATTGAGACTGACGTTCCCCAGGGTTACATTGCCGATTCAGACGATTCTAAGGTAGCAAAATCCGGCAAAGGTAGCAGGGAGAAAGGTCGTAGTACGGCGGAGATGGAAGATATCAAGCGCAAGGAGGAGCTTTTGGCCGAAATACAAACTATCCGTCGGTCAATCGAAGTTCTCAAGTCTGAGACACCAGATCCATCTAGCTCCTCGAATTCCCGTCACCCATCGTTCACTTCCCGGCGTACTTTGAGTTATGAGCTTGGAGCACTCAGTCCTGCCCCTCAGTCTCACTTACGTCCTCCGAGGCAGATGGATCCTCGTGCGCGAGTGCAATCTATGGACATGTCGAATTTGTCACGATTGTCGGATATTGGGGCGTCCATCGGAAGGCCAACCAGTGCACCATTGCGTGACGATGACTGGGACTCGTATGTCCGCGATCGCAAGTTATTACAGCCGCCTTCCGGCGTCACAGCTCCCATCCCGACGACACCCATCAGCCCATCCAGCGTCCCAGTGTCTCCTGCTATTGAGGAAGCTCTGAAACAGCGTCAGCTCCTTGAAAGTGCGATTACCAACGGAGCACCGCCGGAGGTTTCTCCCCGAAGCATGCGTGATGCACTCCCTGTGCAGAAGGTTTCTTCAGGCAGCATACCCGCTGTACTGCGACCGCCCCAACACACTCGGTCCCAATCACATGGAGGCCTTCCGGTCACAATTCTCCCTCCCCGCAAATTGACTGCATCGCCTACACCAGAGGAGCCTGAGGTGACGCCGTGGACCACACGGACCTATGAGGAGCTCGTTGAGCGGCACCGCGAGAAGATGAAAGAACTCCAGAGCCCATTGACGCGTGCTGAGCAGGAACAGGTCCAAATTCAGGAGGCGAAGAGTCGATGGGAGAGGGCCAGGCAGGCGGAGAAGCAGGCCGTGGCCAAGAGGCAAGCCGAGAAAGCCGCCGCGTATAGTAAGGAGGAGGGGAAGCACCACAAGACGAGTGATCAACAGGATTCGTCAAAGAGGAAGTCGAGGACGCTGCTTGACCAGAATGGCAAAGATAGCAGCCACCCACCTTCCCGACCACTTAGCGCGAATGTCCTTGCGTCTGTGCCCGGAACGACATCGTCGAAACGTATGTCGATGTTAAAGGTCGAAGACTGGCAAAAGCATCAACAAGACGTTGAGATGGGCTTCCGTCCCGATGAACAGCGACGCTCCTCGAGATCTAATCGTCCTTCTGACGTTCCCTTCCCAGAGACGCACGGCCGGCCTGTGGATAGTCGGGACAAACGACGAATGTCTCATCGCGGGGCTCTTCCGCGTAATGATTGACTGTAGATATGATCTGGTATCACGTCGACTTGGCCCGACTGACCTTGTACTCTAGGACCATAATGGACGTGTTTTTATTTGTATTCGTTTCTTCGTTCACTTGACTTCATGGACACGAACTTTTGCATATGGACTTTTACCGTACACCCAGCATTGCGCATCATATGTTATGCCATCACACTGTTTTGGTCTCTGCATATGATCTAATTCACGCTTTTTACAACAAGAGGATAAGTCATAGCGCGGAGGCAAAGTCCCGATGGATCTGATCTAGGAGTGTTGATCGGGGTGACAACTAAACTAGGCTGAGCCTACCTCAGCCCAGCCTAACTTGCTCCGCATTATAAGTCGGGTCGTCTCGCCCAGACGCACATTCTCTCTGCAACCATGTCTATCGCCCACTCAAAGTCCGCCTCCAGCCTCCCTAGCCTCTCCCAGCCCAAAACACCCCGCCCGGCACTGCCGCGCGTACGCAGTGCCATTGTACAATCGCCATCCTCGCCAGTCTCTGTCTATGCTCTTCGTGGCGACAGGAATGAGGATCCATTCAGCCTGTCCGACTTTTTCCCTTCAGACCTCATGGGCTCCGAGCACGACAGGGGTCGGGAATGGGCCTGGCTGCAGACTCGCCGCATTCATCGCGATGAGGAGCTCTCGGACGACCTTCCTTCGCCGGCCGACGAAACCGAATGGCTCCCTCCCACTCCACCCAGCCTCGTCGCCGGAGACTTTACTGACGACGAAACTAGAGAATGTATCCGTCGCGAGGACAAGTTGGGCATTCTCACGTTGGGTATGTTGCCGCGCTGATCCTGGTAGTTGGTTGCGACTGAATACTGCGCTTCAGGACATCCCCTGGCTATAAAATATATGGACTCTGTCTTGCAGAGCGACCATATGCTCTCGCCTTACGCGGAAGATGGTCCGACGGACTACGAGGGTCTGTACCGGTCCTTGTCTGCTCTGCGCGAGGCCACCCACGGCACCCCGCGCGTGTCTGAAGTCAAGAACGCGTCGGTGGCCGAGCTCTTTTGCCCCCGAGCAGAATATGACGAAGTAGGGCATGGTGTGCAGGGATCATTGGTGTATCGTGGGCTATGGAGGGCTTTCGAGCTCCTAGATACACAAATATAAACGTTCTTGTATCTTCCCAGTGGCACGGGCGCCAGGATCTGTGAGCGCCGTAGAGCGGGCGCCGAGAAGCCGAGGGACCCCGTGCACTGGGCACCCGGACAAGTTCACGGGGTCGTTGCGGTTCCTATATAACCAACATGCGTGGGTAAAATGCTATTTTCTTCCCACTCCCACAGGGGACATTTCCCACAGCTCCTGCTGTAGGCTCATAGACTCTAATCAGCCATGCGAACTATTGTGCCATTTGCCTCGGATCCCCTTCACCTTCAGATGGTGTCTGCGACACCTGCGGGCATTCACGACCACCTTGCTCTTCCAATGCACCCTCAGGAGTCTGTGTCGCGTTCGGCGTCGCCCCAGCAATCTGACATAGGCATACTCGTAAAGTGTCCTCCCGTGTGGCCTCTTCCATCTATCCTAACGCGTTCCAGGTCCCGGGACATGCACCTGGGGCCCACCAGACGTCTGCCGGAAATTCGCAATCTCTGGACACGAGTGCGACCGACCATACTATACAATCTATCTTGGAGGCTGCTAAACAAGCGTCAGTCGCGAATAACGGACCATCCTTGTCGTGGAATACTATTTCACCACATCAGGATCCTGTAGCAAGTCAGACGATGTCACCGGTGGTGAATCAGGTATGCAGGGTGCACTGTCTAGAGAATACCACTCATTGCGACCCAGCGCTCGAGCACGAAACGGAAGCTCGACGACTCAGAAGCAGGGGACACACACAACAAAATTAGACGCGTCGTTCGTGACCACGTATCGCAAGATCCAGCGCGTGTCATGCCCATGACCACAGTTATCTGCCTACACGCGGCTGTCGCCCAAAAGTCGTACGGTAGCGAAAAGCGTTTCCTTTGTCCCCCCCCGGTTGTTCACATAGAGGGACCTGTCTGGAACATGAAGCAACAGCATCTTGCGATGGCGGTGGTTACTGAGTCTGGAGAACGTACTTTCGAGCAAAAGGCGCCACTGGATCAGAGTCTCAACGCGAGCTTCAAGTTTCTGCATGTTTCTGGTACTGCTAAGACGAAGAGTTTCCAGCTCGCTCTTGACATAGCAGAACCTCCACCACCTTCTGCAGATGGGTCCGAGACAGGCAGCGGACGTGTGTGGGCGTCATTCGATTCCGCACCTGTAACGATCATCTCGAAGCCTTCGAAGAAGACAGCAAAGACGCGTAGCATTTCCTCTTGCATCTTAGCAGGTGGTCCGGTGTCATTATTTAATCGCATCAATTCGCAAACTGTACGCACCAAATACATGACCATTGATCATGGTCAGATGTGTGCTAGCAACATTGCTTGGTCTGCTTTCAATGTGGACGTCAGGAGCCGACCTCAAATCGCTAACGAGGAATCCCCTCTCTGTGAGTTGACACGTGACCCTGGAATTTCCCCAGTGATTAGTACTCACGACATCTGCTGTTAGCCGGACCTGGTCCACAGACGGTGCTGTACGGTAGCAAGATTATTCTAAGGGACACTGTCACCGGCATATCTGCCCCAGAACTTATCATCCGCAAAGTCGACAAGGGTAGGATATCCATCGAAGATGGGGGCCCCGTCAGTCAAATGCAGAAGATCGCCCTTCAGAGGATTAACCCAGATGGTAGTCGACACTACCTATCTGCGGCAGGGCCAGTTCCAGGCACTCCTGGCGCCATTATTCCTCCTACTCCTGGATTGTCGAGCCAAGCTGGATCGCATCCACTGCTGTTCCAGGCGCCTCGTGTAAGAGAGGAAGTCAAGGATGGTCAGAGCACTATCACCGATGAAGTGGATGACTACCTTTGTTGGACGATCGTCGGCATCTGTACGTCAAATTTTGGGTATCAGTCGTGAAGGACAATGCTTACATCATGTGCCGTTTCTAGCAAAGTTTCAGTACACATTTTTTGATGCATTTGGTCAGAATAATCGGATCCCGGACCTCCCTATCACACCATTTCCTACATTGTTCACAGTCCCTGTCCAGCGATTCGCTAGTGAACACGATCTGCTAGAGCTGACTGCTGCAAACTTTTTCTACGAGAACCCGGCGACTGGAACAGTGGACCCCCTTGATGTCTATATAGGCCCCCTAGGTCCGCTGCGGATACGCGTTTTCCAAGCTGCACCAGTGCCCCTTGGTACGATGGCGGCGCAGCCTTTCATCGCGAACGTTCAGACCGAAGGACAACTCAGGTTTGTCTCTACTGCGGGCACGCTGGTGTCGTCGGCGCCTCATAACCCAATCCACGGGCCATTGCACACCGTCGTGATTGTGGAGATGCCTCCAAAAGACGAAGTGTTGAAAGCTATGGAGGAGAGCGCTTTGCCAACTGGCGAGGAGACCAGGAGTTCTCCCGGGGGGCGGACTTTGCCTAGGGAACAACGAATACAGGGACGACCTTTGCCTTTGCTATTCATACGTGCCTACGATGGCATCGGATACCACTCGGGACGATTGATTGCTTGTGAGTATTTATTCAAGGACATGGATCTAAGTGCTGGTGCGTCCGGCAATGGTGGCAACAGAGATTGGATAGCAGAACAGGCGGCGCGGGCGGCAGAGAACAGCCTGAATAACTGGACATATAAAGTGATCTGAAGGGACAATGGACATTTTTGGAGTACCAATATTGTATAGTATGAGAGTGACGAATGAATTTGTTCTGTGCTCGGTTCTTTGCAACGTGTGTGGAGAGAAAGGGCTTCCTGTGCGATCGCGTCTTGGTCGAGAGCAAGCGCGGCCTGGCACATCGCGCAGGTGCTCTTCGCTGGTAAATTTAGGACCCGGTGAACAAGGATTTCTAACGCGGCGAATGGTAAATACGTCACGGATGAACGATTAGTTCCGGATCTGAAATCGATAAGTCGTTGCCCGATTCGACCGCCGTACGTTTTTCTTCGGCGCCGCATTCACAAGTCCATCGCAGCCTTGCTCCCGTCCTTGATTTCAGCCCACCGCTCTCTCGTATCTGCATTCGCCCAGTTCAGTCCCGCGTGTACGTCTTTCCTGCGCTTTTGTTCGTGTAAGTCCTCCAATTCCATGTTTTAACCCTTCTCAACCTTCCTTCTAAGCTCATTTTATCGTACCATCGTCTCGGAACCCCCTCTAGCTCCGCTCCCATCGCTGAGCACATTGTTATAAAGCCACTAGCTGCCCCCTTACACCCCATCAGCAAACCATGGCCACATCTTCCAACTCGTCGCGCCTTCAATGGTTTTCTTCTCTCCAGATCACGCAGGCCCCTGTCCCGACCGAGGACACAAAATATCATCGTAAGGTACGCCCGTATCCGTTCCAGGCAGCTGATATATGCTGATGCTCTCCTAGACCTCCATCATCGCGACCATCGGTTCGTATCTATGTTGCGAGGCTGCTTGGTCGTTTTATGACATAATCGTTGTACAGGTCCTAAGGTGAACAGTGTCGAGATGCTTACCAAGTTGATTCGTGCTGGGGTCAATGTTGGCCAGTAGAACTTTGTGTCGAGTCTTAATCTACACGCTGATGATCGATGTAGTGCGCATGAACTTTTCTCATGGCTCGTACGAATACCACCAAAGCGTCATTGACAACACCCGGAAGGTGACTTCATGTAGGGTTCAATAATTGGTGGTACCATTTTCCAGCCGCTTACTTATCGTCATAGTGATGCCTGAAGGTCGCCCCATCGCCATCGCTTTGGACACAGTAGGTTCTATTGTAAATTAATTGAGCCCTTGGCTGACACAAACAAAATTAGAAAGGGCCCGAGATTCGTACCGGTAACATGAGGAACGATGTCGATGTAGGTATTGGATCATCTATATATCTTGACCACTCAAGTCTCAGTTGGAGTGAACAGATCAAAATTTCTGCCGGTCATGAGTTCATTGTTTCTACGGACCGCAAGTATTATGACATTTGTGATGACAAAGTGCTGTATATGGATTATGTGTGTATTGGCTCAATTTTATTATTATACCTATATGCCCTTACATCTGTCATTTAGGCCAATTTGCCCAAAGTCACTGCTCCTGGGAAGTTGATATACGTGGACGATGGTAAAGTCTTTGCTCAAAGCTTAGCTTTTGCTCATTGTTGTTATTATAGGTATTCTCTCCCTTCTCGTCCTTTCCGTTGATGGAACGAGTGTTCGCGTACGCGCCATTAACAATGGGACGCTCTCGTCCCACAAGGGCGTTAATCTCCCCAATACCGATGTCGACCTTCCGGCCCTATCTGAGAAAGACAAGGCCGATCTTCGCTTTGGTGTCAAGAATGGAGTCGACATGGTCTTTGCCTCCTTCATTCGCACTGGCAAAGACGTGAAAGATATACGAGAAGTCCTCGGTCCCGACGGTGCGAACATAAAGATCATTGTTAAAATTGAAAACTTGCAAGGCGTCGAGAACTTCGACGAAATCCTGGCAGAGACTGATGGTGTTATGGTTGCTCGTGGTGATCTTGGAATCGAAATTCCTCCTAGCCAGGTTTTCCTCGCTCAAAAAATGATGATCTCCAAGTGTAATATTGCTGGCAAGCCTGTCATCGTCGCCACTCAAATGCTTGATGTGAGTCGTATTCTTCAGTTACCAGTCCCAATGTACTCACGGAGGCACACCTGCAGTCCATGATGGTAAGAATCCTCGTTCTTGTCGCGTATCGTGTTGTTGAATATACAACAGCAAAACCCGAGGCCTACTCGTGCTGAAGTCAGCGATGTAGCCAACGCTGTCCTCGACGGGTCTGACTGCGTCATGCTTTCCGGCGAGAGTGCCAAGGGTGCCTACCCTATCGAGTCGGGTGAGATATACAACCTTCGGGAACCAATGGGAAAGCTGACACTAGCCAAGTTTTGATGATGGCGGAGTGCTGCCTGCTAGCGGAGGCCATGATCTGCTATCCTCCTCTCTATGACGAGTTGAGGTTTGCAACATCTCGCCCCACGGAGACCGTGGAGACAACTGCTGTTGCGGCCGTTGGTGCGGCACTGGAGCAGAATGCCAGTGCTATCATTGTTTTGTCTACAAGTGGTAACACTGCGCGCCTTGTGTCTAAATATCGCCCTCCCGTGCCTATCATCACAGGTTCATACTCTACTGGCTAGTTTCTTTGCTTGCACTAACACTGCATTACTAGTGACGCGGAATCAACAGACTGCTCGCCAGGTCCATCTGTACCGAGGGTGTTACCCATTCTGGTACCCCGAGCCGCGTGGTATTGAAGCTCACCAATGGCAGACCGATGTAAGTATAATTACCCTTTTTAGGTGTATCGTGGCTGACGGTACGATGCACGTACAGGTGGACAACCGCATCCGTTTCGGGCTGCGTAATGCGCTGAAGCTGAACATCATCAAGACTGGTACTACTGTTGTTGCTTTGCAAGGTTGGAAGGGCGGACTTGGACACACGAACACCGTGCGGATTCTGTCCGTTCCTACTGATCCCGCCGATTTGGAGTTGCAGCCTCTCGGTGTTTAGTTGATGTATTTCTTGTTATCATTGGAGTGAATTTGTTGTAATGATAGAATACCAAGCAGTATGAATAGATAAAGTGTAGACTGACATCCCATGGTGTGCGTGTGAACGACTTGTCGACTTGGCACAGCCTGTAGTGATCGTCTCTTCGTTGTGCACGTGGCACAATTTGGACTTGTAACGGCGCAGCTCAAGCTCAGGCTGCGCTCTGACTTGGTCTCTACCACGGCAGCTCACACTTCCTCTTTGTCACTGCTGGCCGGTTCGTTTCCTTTGCCGCAAGGCCTGGTTTTCGCAGGATGTCATCGTCGGTGTACTTCTCGCAAAACGGAAATGGGTATCCGGAAAGACGTTATAGTGATCTCCCGACGCACTCCCATTCCACCGCTGTCCGGGAGAAATGGCAAAGACACCACCACACTTCCTCCTGGCTCATTCCTATATCCCTTCCTATTCCTGGCGTGCGCACGCGTCGCCTAAGGGTTATGACCCCCAACCCCGCTCGACTGCATCAATTCAGCGTCACTCGATTTGGTCGAAGACGGGGTCCTTTGTTCCTATGCATTAGTGTCGTCGCCATAGTCTTTACCGTTTTTGCGCTTCACAAGCGTTTTGCCACCCAAGAGAAGACGTGGCCTACGCTCACCACGGGGGAACCTCCGACGTTGGTCTATCGACCGGAAGACTTGCAACGGATATGGGAGTGGGAAATTGCAGCGGGACACTATCCAAGTAGTCATAAGCGTGCGTATGGATGTCACAATTGTAATACCGTTTTTAAGACATTTGTCTAGTCCCAAAGCCAATTGGCTTCACTTCACCTCCCCTAAACCCTGCTCTCCCAGCTCGAAAGTCCGCCATTATGCCTGCCCGGTACAGGTCACCGACGGTGACCAACACCATTGGGACTGGTTCGAAGCGTGTCTACTTAGATGTCCAAGCCAAGCCGCCGAATATTGCGTATCCTCCGAGACCGGTGCCCGGCAGTGTCGCGGACATGGACGTGATAATGGAACACTGCGATTATTCTCAAAAGAAGGTATGTACGCCTGACCGACTACGAACTGCAAGGCTAAGTTATTCATTACAATCAGTATGTACGGGATTGTCTCGAGGTCCTTCGCCTGGGTGCGGGTCTGGACACTTCAGGAAGGGTGCGAAGAGGAAAAATGGACGAATGGAAATACATCTACCTGGAAGACGGTGTCCCGGATAACGTTACGGAACCCGACGCCATGCTGAAACCCAACTATGCTTCGAAGGCGCAGGGAGACTTGGACATCTCCCCGGACTTTGCGAAGAAGCGTGGTGTTGAATGGGAGCCTCACGTACATTTCCCCGCACCTCCCCAATATCGACTCTTCAAGGATCTGCCCACACCTTGTGATGATGAAAATCCTCGAATCTTTCATATGTTCTGGACGGGCCCCTTCACCGACAAACCCTACCTCGCGCTGCTGTCTTATCTATTCACTCAGAACGTTGGTTTGCACCTTGACGATGATCATCAGGATCCTCACGTTTGTCGACCTAAATTTTGGCTTTGGATCAACCCTGGTCCCGCTGCTGCGGTTCCTAATCCGAACGCGATTAGGGATATGTTCGACGACCTCAAAAATAACCCTTGGGCATCACCCTTCTTGCACCCACGATTCAAGGATGTAATCCAGTTCAAGCTATGGAACACAACAGAACAACTTGATAATATACCGGAGCTGAAAGATGAATGGAGGTCTCTACGAGACAGCCTCTTTAATTCCGGTGGCTATGTCGAAAAACTCCCGCCCAATGCTAATTCCGAGGGCAGCACAAAGACTGGAACAAACTCGAGCGCGAATTACGAAAATGAATCTACCGTGGCCTCCAATGCTGCGCCGACATCCGAAGACGAAAAAGTGTACCGCGTCGGTTCGAAGTCGGCTTCGTCGTACGATCGTCTCTCTGTAATATTGTCAGACATGGCCCGTTTCATAGTGTGCCACCGGTTTGGAGGTATCTACCTCGATGCTGACACACTCCTATTACGCGACTGGGAGGAGCTATGGGGTTGGAGAGGCGCATTCGCGTACAGGTGGTCTCGCTTGGAGAAGTACAACACGGCCGTCTTGCGCATGAACAAGGGTTCTGCTCTAGGGACATTCCTCTTCCGTACCGCTCTCAAGAATGGATTAGACTTCCATCCCATGACTGTGTCAAAATACACGAAAGACGCCTACTTGGAAGGCTTGCTTCTTCGCTTACCTGACGCACTCTTTGATTCTGCTTGGTTGAGTACTGAGTACTTCCAGCGGGATCGTCCACCTCAACCTTTCTTCTATCAGTAAGGTCTCGCTGCATTATTTCTTGAGGTCGGGTCTCATTTATGCCTGTACAGATTTGAAGATTTCTTTGATACCCCCCGAGAGACCGGTGCTGCTCCTGCCGCCCTAGGCTTTGACGGCTTTTTCAAGGGTGCTTTCTCTTATCATTTCCACAACTTCTGGTGCGCAAGGTGCCATTTCCCGTCGCGCGACAATGCTGATTACTCGTATTTTCAAGGTGGAGACCGTTCGATCCTGTGCGTAATTGGCCTGATCTCGGTGAGAGATTCATCGCCGGCGAGCGCATTGCACGAGCCGCTATCGCTTCGGAGGCAGGTACTCCGTTTGTTGAGGAAGAGGACCTTGTGGCAAATGACAAACGCGATCTTGATTGGGCTGCCGTCATGAAGAGAACGTTTGAAGCCTACATTCGAGGAGAGAGTCCGAACATGTATGGGGAGTGGTTGAAGTGGTAATCCTTTCCCAGCTTGATTCAGGTTTACTCCCATAGGATGTTTGGTAATAGGCCGCTGCCAGAACCCACATTGGCGCTGTAGTCGCAGGTGGTGTGCTCGGTCAGCTAGACAAACCTACACAATCCCACGAATCCTTAATCTCTGCATCCATGGGCAGCGACACTTTACAGGCCTGCCAATAATGTAATGGAATCTGGACATTCGTTTGGTTACTTCTTTCATACAGCCTGGACTAGTGATAATATGTTTCTAAGTGCATGTCTCCGCTACATTTTATCCATCGACGGGTCTGACAAACTCCGCCACATGCACTGTAATGCCACCATACAAGGCTAATATGAAATTCACTTAGATGAAATTTTTGCCTGCGCATCGTTGACAGTTCTCTTCAGTAGTGCAATCACCTGCTCAGGTTCGGGGGCATTAAAAATGGCCGTTCCCGCAACAATGACATTGCTCCCTAAGAGGCGGTACCAACAAGTTCAACACCATACGACCATTAAAGCACAAAGTGGCACATGCGCACCTGCTTCCGCACATACGTCTACAGTCTTGGGGCCAACACCGCCATCGACCTCAATATCTTTGTCAGGAAAGCGCACTCTAAGTTCGGCGACCTTGGGGACACAGCGCTCGAGGAATTTCTGGCCGCCACGACCTGCACAGGATGACGTTTAGCAGCGCTATGGCGAGAAGCGCCAAAGATCGAGCGTCGTACCAGGGTATACTGTCATTACAAGCAGCATGTCAGCTGCCTCACCCACTTCGTCAGTGATCGCAGTCGAGGGCGTATCAGGCGAGATGGCGACGCCTGCTTTCATTTTGCGCTCGTGGATAGCATGGATGAGCGAGAGCGGATCCGCTGCGGAGTTGATCGTCAGATGTATGCGTAACTAAAAGACCTGAAGAAGACACATGCATGTTGCTTCAAGGTGAAAACAGTACAGCGCGCCGCCGGCATCCGCAATGTCATTCACCCACTAGGGACACTTGGTAAGCGGACTACCATCTCGCAATGACGGGACTGGAGTACACACCTTCTCAGGCTGGGCGACCATCATGTGGCAGTCCATGAATATCCCTGGGATGCCTTTAGAGACGCACGCCAGAATTGGAGCACCTATCATGGACTGAGCCGCTGTACATGGTTCAAGCGCAGAAGACATGCAGACCCATGGTGATGTTAGGGACAAAGTGGCTGACGCGTGGATAGATCAGCAGAGAGACATCCTATGCTTCGCTATAGACGTTCACCCATCCATTACATCTGGTGCGAACGGTGAGTCTGCGACTGATTGTTGACTAAACGGCGGAGGACAGACCCATATGTAGCCATTCAGCACCGCCCTTGATCATGCGCTTGCATTCCGCAGTGAGCTGGCCGAAGTCGGAGGCGAGAACAGAAGGCGAAATAATGGCTCGAGGCATGGCGGTGAGCGGCTGCGGTGCTGAGGCGGGGGTGAGTGCGCAGTCGAGGACGGCTTGGGAAAAGGTCAGGTGACGCGAGTAGGGTACTCCACCGCGGATCAATCGATCAGCACTGGTCGCTGCGGTAGAAGGCGGCGTCATCCCATGCGGTGCTCGAGAGGTGCGCAACCGCTGCCCTATATAACCCCCGCTCACCATGCTCCAGTCCATCCCCATCGCATCCTCCTCTTTGCTGATACCATGTTCGCCAAAGCCTCCATCTTCCTCTACGGCATCGTCTGTGCCTTCCTCGCCGTAGCCTATGCCAACCCTGTAGAGGAGAAGCGCCAAAGTCAGTCTCATCATTCACGCTTTCCCCCCTGACTCACTCAGCCACGACAATTTGCAGTCAACAGCATCATCAGTGCTCTCACGTCAGAGGCGGAATCTGTCGCTACGGACGCAACATCTTTAGGTGTGTGTGCTCTGTCATTGTTGCATTTCTATCGCCGACTATTTCCACCTTCCAGCTGGCTCCGTCTTCACCGATGCTACGTCCCTTGGCGGGAGTATCGCAAGTGATGTCACTTCCGCGGGCAGAAGCATTGAGACTCTTGTAACTTGTATGTATCCCCCATCGCTCACCTTGATGAGAGCTTACACGTTTGAATGCAGCTGCTGCTGGCCATGCGTTTACAGTGGTTACGTCCGTTGGTGGCGAAGCCATCACATTGGCAACAAGCGGTGCTGGAATACCCATTACCTTTGCCGGTTCAGTTTATACCGAAGCCACCAGCGCGGTGGGCTCCGTCGTGACTGGCGGAGGTACCACTTCCACTTCCACTTCCACAAGGTGTGTACCATAACAACACTCTTATGTAGAACGTCACCTAACGCCAATCACTCACCAGTACTACTAACACCTCAAACGCCGCCACAAGCATGCGCCTCGTTGCACCTTCTGCTTCGCTTTTCGCTACTATCGCTACTTGCCTTGGTGGAGTCGTTGCTGGGGCATGGCTTACCCTTTAATTATCCTATCTCCTACTTTCCGCACCTTTTCCATATCTAGGGGCCGGCGGACTTTTCCCTAGCCGTTCTTAATTTCGAATCTCATAATGATGTATCTTATCTGCAGTAATTTTGGTTCGTGTTGAGAATGCATTTGCTTACTCTGAGGATGGTCCTACTCTGGACCAGGGAGAACAATCTGGACTCCGTGCAAGGACCGTCCATTCAGCTTGACATGTTCTCGATCAGCTAAGCTTCTGACGTGTCATCTCAAGCAACCCCAAGCGTGTTTCTCGTTCTTAAAATTGCACAATGACCAATATCATGAATATCATCGACTGGTAGCGCATGCAAAAAAGTTACTCGTCCGTCTTGGTCAAATCCTTATTCACCTGAGTCAAATCATGAGTAACGCACAATCTACGGCATGTATTGACTTAACATACGTGAGGATTGAAGAACAATGAGTTCATTCCCCAAGGGTAAGGGCCAGACGCTACAACAGTTGGTTATTGACTCATGCCAAAAAGAATCAACATGCAAGGTGGAGACGTACCACGTCTGTTCATATACTCAAACGCGGGAATCTCCGGAAGCTGACCGTCGTGCTCAGCCCTGATATGTGCCTCATGCTCGGCATGTTCATTCTCAACGTTTCGTACCCAGAGAGCAGTGACAACAACTATCATACCGCGTCAATTTATATATAGATGTATGTCATCGCTCGAGACAACTAACCGGCAGGAAGGCAAACATAAAAGCTAGAAAATTCCATCAGAGTCATAGACATGTCGTGCAGGAAAATACAAACCTGATCCTACGCCAGAGGTTGGCAGTCTCTGTATCAAAATCCATCAGTCCTTTGCGACCGTCGGTGGACGAGGATCGCACCAGCTGCGTGAGCTCTCAAGGCAGCTTGTTTGTCCGCCCAGTTGGTCTCCATCAATTCAGCCGTAGTGTTAGCATATCCACGAGTGCGCGGAAATGCGCGCAGAGCAAGGCGGCGAGCAAGCATCGACATTGTGTTGAGAGAATGACTGGGTAAGGAGAAATACGGAACGCAGTGCCAGACGATTCAAGTCATTCAACGAGACGAATGTGTTACGTAATCTTATCATGTGACAAGCGATGTACACTGACGCGTCTCCTCAAGCCAAGTTCCGAGGAAGCAGGGGTTTGCATACAACTTTCCTCAATGGTTCCCCGTCCCCAGTCGTCCGCCGCAGGCGTTCTCGCCCTTCTATCTGAACCTGAGCCACTTTTGAAGCAACATGCTCTGAAAACTCTGACTGCCCTTGTGCCTCAATTCTGGGCAGAGATCTCCGAGCATATAACTCTCATGTACGTTACGCAAGTCATCGCGCATTTCTCATTTGACAACTTGGACGGTATGCAGAGAATCATTGTATGAGGGTGATGAATTGTCAGCGGAAGCACATGATGCAGCAGCTTTGCTTGCGAGCAAAGTTTATTATTATCTTGGCGAGTACGACGAGGCGTTGAACTTTGCATTAGGAGCAGGCGTCGCATTTGAGGCAGAAAGTCGCGCACCGGGAGCGGAGGAATATGTGGAGACAGTCATTTGTGAGCAATACTGGCGATTTTGACACTTTCAACATGCCTCAATTTTGTTAATATCTCGTAGCGAAGGCTATTGATAAGTACATCGAGGCCCGGGCGATGGAGCAGCTAGATGCAGGAGAGAAAATCGATCCCAAATTACAGGGTATCATAGAAAGCATCTTTAGACGTTGCATGGCAGATGGAGAGTACAAACAGGTATTCATGGTGACACTGGTACGAGAATGCTTATGCTGATGCCCCACCCACAGGCAATAGGTATCGCACTGGAAGCGCGTCGCTTGGATGTCATCAAGCAAATCTACGAAAACACACAAGATGTGGGCCTTCTGTCCTACGCTATGGATGCTGTCCTTGACACGGCGTTTCCACTCGCGTACCGAGATCATGTCCTTCGATTCCTTCTTCCACTTTTCCCGTCACCGAGTAGTGAAACGAGGTCACCCTATGTGTACTCAATCACCCGGTTACTGGTTACACTCAGCTCAGCCGAGCTGACTGTACCACTCATCACCGCCCTCGTCCCGAAGGAGAGTCTACTCGCGTACCAAATTGCATTTGACTTAGTAGAGGGTGGCGCACAGGATTTCTTAGAAAATGTTCGAACCAAGCTTCCGGAAGGACAAGGTGTAAGTCTCGGGTTTGTGTCATGTTTCTGCCCATGCTGATCAGGCTGTTCATAGGAAACCAAGGCCGTCTACGACAAATTACGTCGCATTCTGCTTGGTCAAGAGTCCATCAAACTCTATCTAGAGTTCCTGAAGCGAAATAACAAGGTTGACATGCTAATCCTGAAGAATACAAAGGTGAGTTGGATCGGAGAATTGATGCAACTGCATGGGCTCAATAGAGGCCTCAGGATACCCTCGAGGCACGATCGTCCATTTATCATGTGGCGCTCACTTTTCAAAATGCTTTCATGCACTCGGGTACAACTTCTGACGTCTTCCTGCGCGAGAATCTCGAGTGGCTAGGACTGGCGACAAATTGGGCTAAATTTTCTGCAACCGCTGCACTTGGAGTGATCCACAAAGGCCATTTTGAGGAGAGTATGAACATTCTCGGACCTTACCTCCCACACGCGGGCGGTGCGGACAGCGGCATTCCTGGTGCAGCATATTCAGAAGGAGGTGCGCTCTATGCGCTTGGACTTGTGAATGCTGGCTGTGGTAGTGGCCGGCACGTGGAGGAGTATCTGCGTTCTACTTTGAAGACCTCCCAAAATGAGGTCGTGCAGCATGGTGCAGCGCTCGGGTTGGGTGTGGCCGGAATGGGTGGCAAGAACGCTGAGACGTACGATGAGCTTAAACAGTCTCTTTTTTCCGACTCAGCAATTGCAGGTGAGGCTGCTGGTTACGCCATGGGATTGATCAAGCTCGGTACTGGGGACGCGGATGCGGCAGGAGAAATGTTGCAATACGCAAGAGAAACGCAACACGAAAAGATTATTCGCGGTGTTGCTGTTGGCCTTGCCTTCATGTTTTATGGGCGGCAGGAAGAGGCTGATCAAATGGTCAAAACACTCATTACTGAGAAGGTGCTACATCCCCACATATTCTTATTTTTGCTTAACTGAGACACTTGACTACCAGGACCCTATCTTGCGTTACGGTGGTGTGTATACTCTGGCGCTAGCATATGCTGGTACATCGAACAACAATGCGATACGTCAGCTGCTCCACATCGCGGTCTCCGACACATCAGACGACGTTAGAAGAGCGGCAGTTACGTCGCTGGCGTTTTTACTTTTCAAAAATCCCGCACAGGTCCCTCGTATCGTTCAATTGCTCAGCGAGAGCTACAACCCACATGTGCGCTGTGGCGCCACTCTCGCATTGGGCATTGCATGTGCAGGAACCGGTTTGCAGGTTTGTTCATCTGTAACTAGTGATTTGAATAGCCATGCTAACATGTGCCGGCAGGATGCTGTTGAGATCCTTGAACCTATGACCAAAGACAGTGTCGACTTCGTTCGTCAAGGCGCATTCATCGCCCTTGGTATGGTTCTCGTGGAGCAATCCGAAGTGTCTTCCCCCTCGCTGGCCTCAACTAGAGCATTATACTCCAAGATTGTCGCCGACAAGCATGAAGATCCTATGGCTCGATTTGGTGCGGCTCTCGGACAAGGCCTCATCGATGCGGGTGGCCGTAACGTCACTATCAGCTTGCAAAGCCGTGCTGGCAGCCGTAACACTAGCGCGATTGTAGGGATGGCCTTGTTTTGTCAGTTCTGGTATTGGTATCCTCTAGCGCATTGCGCATGCCTCGCGTTCGAACCTACCGCTATCATCGCACTGGATGGCACACTACAGGTGGGTACGAATCCTCTTGTGCGGGTCCTGCTGATCGTCATTTCTGCCAGGCACCGAACTTTGATTTCATTTCCAATGCGAAGCCAAGTCTGTTTGCGTATCCTGCTCTCACTAAGCCCCCAAAGAAGGAAGCTGTAGCCAAGGTTGCGACAGCTGTCCTCTCCACAACTGCCAAAGCAAAAGCGAGAGAGAAGAAGAAAGCTGCCGCTGAGGGTGCTGATGCTATGGACATGGTACGATCACTTGCCGTGCCTGTAATATTGCAACTAACTAGGCAATAGGACGAGAAAGCAGATGCCAGGAAAGATGGTGACGTCGAGATGAAATCTGAGGAAACTCAGTCGACACCAAAACGCAAAGAACCTTCTTTTGAGCATCTTCCTAACTTTTCTCGTATTGTTGCTGCGCAAGTTCCATACATCAGTTTCCCTCATGATGGTCGGTATCAGCCTGTGCGCGCTGTGTCAACAAAGAGTGTGGCGCCGAAGATGCCGAAATCTGCCAATAGGACACCTACTTTGGGATTGGAGAGACATGCTGGTGGCGGAGGTATCCTCATCTTGGTAGACCAACGTCCGGATGAAGAGCCAGATTACATCGAGTTTGAAACACAGACTATCATTGCTGCAAACCAAGCGGTGCCTGTCTCCGATGATAGACCTGCTCATGTGTCTGAGGGGCGTCACATCTCACTCGATGAGAGTGCTCCTGAGGCAGCACCACCGGAATCATTTGAGGTGTGTCTCTTGATACTTCAGATGTACCAGTACTGATCTTCATCTTACAGTATCCTTTCGATAACGACTCGTAGTTTTGTTTGCTGTACATCTCGGACACTATTGTTGATACCGCAATTCATTCATTTTCCCTTTTTTCGGTGCAGCTTCATCGCTTCATTAAGATTCGTATTGGTTGCAAAAAAGACGAAACTATTGCCGGTATATCGATTTTCTATTCGTCCATTCATAGTGTAAATATGTCACATTGTGACAACAGCCATGTGACCGTGACTCACCACGCGCCATCTTTGTCGAGAATCTCCTCTCTGCGCGTCCTCTTTCCTGCTTTCCATACAACACCCATTTGAGCCATTTCTCAGTATGGATACATCTCGCTTGGCGCATCGCAGGAATGGTGAGCTACGCAAGCTGAATCAAATTCAGAGTTTGTTGACCTTTACAATACAGAATACAAAAGCAAAGGTGGCTTGAAGCAGGAGGATCTTAGACGTCGACGTGAGGAGCAACAAGTTGAGATCAGGAGACAAAAGAGGGAGGAAAATATTACCAAGAGACGAAACTTCATCCCTACCACGGCTGGCGACTCCGATGACGAGGGCGGTACTACCAGCTGGGAGAGTCCGGTGAGTTCAATTGTCGATGGTCGACTGAGACAAAGGGCCTTATTGAATTTGGTAGCTTGCGGAAGACATGATCGCGGGTGTTTTTTCTGATGATGCCGATCGCCAACTAGACGCGACTACGAAGTTCCGCAAACTCCTCTCGAAGGAGAAAAACCCGCCTATTGAACGCGTAATTGACTGCGGCGTGGTCCCCCGGTTCGTGGAGTTCTTACAGGGAGATAACCCAATGCTTCAGGTAATGCGCCCCACTTTATGAGGTTCAATTTGTGCTCACTACTTGTTCATTAAGTTTGAGGCCGCGTGGGCACTCACCAACATCGCCTCCGGAACTGCAGACCACACCCAAGTCGTCATTGGTGCAAACGCGGTTCCCGAATTTATCAAACTGCTTTCTTCTTCGGTTCTGGACGTCCGAGAGCAAGCTGTCTGGGCCTTGGGGAATATCGCTGGAGACAGTCCAACATGCCGGGATTACGTTCTGCAGCAGGGAGCTCTCAGGCCTCTCTTGCAGCTGCTGAGCGAGAACCATAAGCTCAGCATGCTGAGAAATGCCACTTGGACTCTAAGCAACTTCTGCAGAGGCAAATCGCCTCAGCCGGATTGGGATCTGGTATGTCGAAAATGTGGCTCTAAGAACTGACTGACCAACTGCTGCTCTCTTGGTAGATCTCTCCCGCTTTGACAGTCTTGACCAAGTTGATTTACTCTTTGGACGACGAAATTCTCATAGACGCGTGCTGGGCGATCTCTTACCTCTCTGATGGATCTAATGATAAGATTCAAGCCGTGATTGAGTCGGGTGTATGCAGGCGACTTGTTGACCTTCTCATGCACCCTTCTACTTCTGTGCAAACACCTGCACTTCGTTCCGTGGGCAACATTGTCACTGGTGACGACCTCCAGACTCAAGTAGTCATCACATCCGGTGCTCTTCCTGCTCTTTTGTCGTTACTTTCGTCCCCGAAAGAAGGCATTCGGAAGGAAGCCTGCTGGACAATTTCGAACGTCACTGCTGGATCTCCTCCTCAGATTCAGTCCGTTATTGATGCAAACATCATTCCCCCGCTTATCAATATTCTGCAGAATGCCGACTTCAAGACAAGGAAAGAGGCATGTTGGGCTATCTCGAACGCTACCTCTGGCGGCCTCCAGGAACCTTCTCAGATTCGATACCTCGTCGCCCAAGGATGCATCAAGCCTCTCTGTGACCTTCTTACCATGATGGACAACAAAATCATACAAGTTGCCCTCGATGGTCTTGATAATATACTCAAAGTAGGCGAGATGGATAAGCAAGCTGCAGGTCCTGGTGCCGTGAACCAGTATGCCCTGTATGTGGAGGAAGCTGGTGGAATGGTGACCATTCACAACCTTCAGCAACACGACAACCTCGACATCTACAAGAAAGCATTCAATATCATGGACAAATATTTCCCCGATGACGAGGAAGTGGATGCTGGTATCAACGCTGCGAACGTTGATGCATCGGGTGCCTTTGCGGTATGCACGTCTCGGTCTGGCTGTGTATCTCGTGCTCATTTATTCACAGTTCAATCAAGAAGGTGCTGCGCCCCCGCCGGGTGGATTCAGCTTCGGTCAGTAGTGAGAGCTGCGTTGGCGCGCATGTTTCTTTTGATGCGGCTGTTTCTTCCCTTGTTTTTGGATCATTAGTATCAGTGTTGTGTATCGTTTCCCCCACATTCATGATTTTTTTGTCAATCCCAAGAAAGTGTGTTATGTAGTATCTGTTGTCCATATCCCGCCTACATGAGACGTATTGCTGTACATGTCGATGATCAGACGCCTTTCTGAGTCTTTAAGTCACATTGTGATGAGAATTTTGGAAATGTGGCCATGCATACGAGCGCGATTCAAGTGTCGCGGTCACGTAACTCTATATTCGCGCGGCTACCTTCTTCAACTACACACAGCAATGGCTTCTCAGATATTACCCCTAGGTCGGCACTCGTCTGAATTAAATTCTTTCGTCCAGTTGTATCTTACCTATCTCTACCAGAGCTCATTGACAGATGTATAGGTTCGCGTATATGGGTTATCATGAAAAGCGAACGTGAATTCACAGGCACGTTACTGGGATTCGATGACTTCGTGAGTGAGTGCAATGCTCCTTTTAGTTCGTGTTCATCCTTTTACAATCACCGAATAGATATGGTTTTAGAGGATGTTACAGAATAGTGCGTTCACACCGCTTGCTACCTCGGGTTGAGCTGAGGTTGGCAGAGCAGTGAGATTACTCCTCAGGGAAGGAAGGCAACAAAGCTGGCGCAGACGCTTCTCAATGGCAATAACATCTGCATGGTGTGTTGTAATTACAATGTTGCCCACAACGAAGTACTTGACAAAGGATTTATAGTTAATTCCTGGGAGTTCTGGCCCGGACAGTGCATAAAAGTCACTGCAACTGGCAAGGCTGTCTGTCTGTCGAGTTGCCGGCAGGGGAGAAGGCCCGGGAATATCGTGAAATATGTATCATTAGTTGTTCTTATTCGAATAGTCGTTACTCAGTGGATTTCAATACTGAGTCCCGGTGACACATAGTGACAGATATAATAATGTCACGCACTGAGTCGTGACGTCGGCGACGATGTGTAGGACTACTTGCCCTCAACCAACCGACCTTCCTATTTCCTCACCATGGCGGTCCGCCTACGTCTAGCCATGCACGGGCCTCGTCATAATCGCATATTTCGTCTTGTCGCCATTGAACAGACCTGGGCACGTAATGCGAAACCTATAGAAGTCCTCGGCCAGTTCAATCCCCGTGTCACTCCGGGCGAGACGACGAAAACAGTAGAGTGGAGTGTAGATCGAATACGATATTGGCTGGGGGTGGGAGCCATGCCTTCAAAGAGCGTGGAGAAGTTGCTGACTCTAGTATGTACTCTTGTTCTCACTATGAAGGTGCATACTGAATACATGGCTAGGGTAACATAGTTACCCCCAATGAACACAGTACACCATCACGCTCTTCCGGACAACGACTCCAGGCACCCTATACAACTCCAACTAGAAATGCTGACCCCTCACCATCACCTACTTCTGCCTGACCTGGCAAGTTTGGTTACACATCGGAGACGCCGCCCATGGAACTCACATCGAAAGTCAATTCTGCGCGGGAAGTCTGCAAAAATAGTGCGGTTGACACGCCGCTGTAGTTGAAACTAGCTGGCAATGACACGACGGGTGGATATTATACAAAACATAACGTCAGTGTTCATGCGCTACTGATCGTAAGATGGCGGCAATATTGTCATTTCCTGCCACTTCAGCCAATTCTAATGCGGTTGTGTTGTCGGCATCCTTGTGTGAACAAAATGTGATTACACAAGGTACGTTCAATGGGTGGTGCACGATACCTTGAGATGTACGTCCGCTCCCCGCTTTAGAAGGAACTCAACTACTCCGAGATTGCCTCTGTCGCATGCTAAATGCAACGGTGTGTAGCCCTGAGTACTGTAGTCAATAAATGAGTGCGAAAGGCAAATCCAATCTCTGACATTCTCGTCCAGTGCATTGATGTCTATATCTGGATTGTTTTGGAGGAATACTTCCATTTCCTCTATTTTGCCAGAGATTGCGAGTGCGCTCATCACGCCTACACATTGCTCTTCTTCTGCGAAGGCCATGGTGCTTACAGAATTGCCCAGCCCACTATTTCCACCTTTGCTATTTGACCCATCTGACATGTCAAAATTGTTGTTCCCGACTTCCCTTTCTACGAAAGCCACGTTTTCACGCCAACCTAGCTCTCGGGCAATGGCCAGGTAAGAACTCTCCACATCTTGAGCATTGGCGCCATACTTCCTACCACATGCCTTCCAAGCATCCCATTTCGCTCTCCCAGTGAAGTCAAAGATGGATGGGCGACCGCTATGGGGTTCCGGAGAAACAGTGAGGTACTTGTAGAGACCATATAACTATCCGTAGTGTCACACCCAACAAACATGTCAGATTCTCTCATCTAAGCCAAAGAAAATATGACAACCTCTAACTTCATCGCATCTGCCGTTGCAGATAGTGACGATGACTCCGACAGATATTTTGCTGCGTTGTTGAACGCTTCAGAAGGGGTGTAGTGGGACATGTATAGACAGACAATATTACAGCTTGCAGTGTAATCACCGTACGAAGGCCCAAAATAATAAGCTGATGCGTTTCTATTACGTAACTGTGATATACCGGCTCGGCAACAAGCAATACAAAGACGCTCAGAACCCTGCAGCTTTCATGGCCTGTAAAATCTCGTTGACTGGTTGCTACCAACTCGGTTGCGGAGTGACATACCTTCAACATCTCGGCACCAATCTTCGCAGGACTGTCTGTAACAATTGCACCGGCCTTCTCGAGAGCCGCGACCTTGTCCTTAGCAGCACCTTGCAAATAATGCAATCTGAGAAACAAGTATTGAGGTAACAAGGGTCCACGTACCTTTTCCACCAGAAATGATAGCACCCGCGTGGCCCATCCGTCTGCCCGGAGGCGCGGTGCGCCCAGCGATGAAGCTGACAACGGGTTTCGGACGGCTACGTGTCTTATTGTATTTCTCCAAGTACTCCGCTGCATCTTCCTCCATTGAACCACCAATCTCACCAATAAGAACAATGCCTGGTTGCATCATATTTATATCAGCGGTACATATCAAAATACTCATCCTTCCAATACTCACCTTCTGTCTTGTCATCATCCAAAAATAACTTGACAACGTCGATATGTTTTGTGCCGGGGAATGGATCACCACCAATGCCGACGCAGAGGGACTGGCCTAAGCCAACAGCAGTGGTCTGCGCAACGGCCTCGTACGTCAAGGTACCGGAACGAGAGACGATACCTAGAAGTTCAGAGCACATGAGGAATTGCTCCAATAAAGGGGTATACTACATGCCAATATTTCCTGGCATGTGGATATGCCCTGGTTGAATTCCCATCTTGCAACCCAACGGGTTGATGATTCCTGGACAGTTTGGACCGACAAGGCGTGACTTCGATTGACTTTGGAGTGCTTGTGTCACCTGCAGCTGCCCGGTCAACACATCAACAAGAGAAGAAAAAACATTTCCATACCCTAATCTCATCGGCCTGCGGGATACCTTCCGTAATACAGACAATCAACCCAATCTCGTTCTCAATTGCTTCAATAATAGCATCTGCTGCGAAAGGTGGTGGAACATAGAGTACAGACGCGTCGGGTTGCGTTTCACGAACGGCCTGCGCCTCCGTCAGACCAGTGAATGGCGGTCCAAACATATTCACTGACCTCCTTGACAGAGCCAAAAACGGGGAGCCCAAGATGAGTCTGGCCCGCCTTGCTAGGGGATACGCCGCCAACCATTCTTGTACCATATGCAAGAGCTTCTTTGACGTGGAAAGTGCCCTGCGAGGGATAGCGTCAGAGCATGTCAGAGCACTGCACTGAGAAGACGAACAGTCTTTCCCGTGAAACCCTGACAGAGGACTTTAGTATCCTTGTGAATAAGTAAATTCTTAATGGTAGCATCATAGTTATGTCGGGATGCAGACTGCGAGAAGGTCCGACGTCCGACTAGGGAGTGAGTTACGGGTCAACCAAAGGATTTCAAGCAAAAGTGACTGCGAGAGGAACCCACTGATGGACGCCAGTGACTTGCCAGTGCGAGGGATCATGGTCAAGGGGTCGTGCAAAAGAGTGAGCTGGCGCTAGTGCGCGCTCTGGAGAGTGGTGCTGCTGTTAAGGCGTTGCAAACCGTTCAAACACCGGTTACGGAAGACAGAAGTAAATCACTCGGCGTGCGCTCTCCCACTCATGTGTTTCGGCCGTTCGGGGCCCGCATAATCACCGCCACTTCGGACTTGCTCGCTCGCCTCCCGCAGCTAGGAGAACCAACAGATACATGTCTTTTCGCGTAATAATACAGATATCTGCTACACTGCTATGCCCACTTTCCTCACAAATCCAACGGTCCAACTCGTCGTCTGTCCCGAGCTTTGCGGGAAGCTCGGTGAAGGGCAAGAATCGCACGCTTGACCCGATCGTACTCCGCTGACTGGACAGCGCTGCGAAGCATTTGTGAGACTGTGAATGGAGCACATCTATCTGACAGTACCACTTACCCGTTCATATCTGCGAGGAATTGGGCTTTCAGCTGATCAGTAGCGGAGATAGGCGGAAGCTGTTGTAGGACCGCAGGCAGCCAGGACAACAACTCGGCCTGCCATAGACCGGCCAATACGCGGAAGATGGTCACGACTATTGGTGCGGACTCTTCGGGAAAATCTCCGACCAAGCCCGAGAGAAGATACCCTGTTAACTCCAGTCCCTCCTTCTGGACAACTGGTCGGATAGCAGCAGCATACACAGGAAACTTGGGCGGAGGCGGCGTTGTTGACGACGGCGAAAGACAGTCATGGGTGACGATGTTGCGGATAAAATCTAGGGCTGCAAAAACAATGTCGGAGTGCACAACGGTAAGAGCTGCTATTGCAGCACGAAAAGCAACAGGGAAAGCTGGAGATGGGAAGAAAACATCAGGGGTGTACTCGAGCATTTGCAGTGACATCTGTAGGTAGTCTTCCATCACTACAAGTATGCAGCTGGAGCGTGAGTCAAAAGCTTCAACTCCACGTCGTAAACTCACCATCTGGTATACTTGCGGGTGTCTTTCCTCGCAGGATTTGAACAAGCTTATTGGAAGATCTCTCGAATACATCTTTGAATGCAGCGCGTAGGGCGGGATCATCGTCGTTTCCAAACCTGCCAACAATCTTTCCCACAATCCAAAGATAGCTGGAATATCCAGTAGCCTCGAAAGCAGCAGACATCCTTGTCAGCACGGACGATAGCACCGGTCGGACTGTGGATCCGAAGAAGTTGAAACCAAGACGAAGTACCCGAGTGGTACGTTCACAGATCTGGTAGTCAGATCCGTACTTGGCAATGAAGGGATCGAAGAATGACCAAGCTTCTTGGGAACTATTGTGGCACGTCACAGGTAACTCTTCACCAAATGTGTCGATAACTCCCAGCATGACTTCGAGGTTCTCCAATCCGTCTGCACCCGTCGAATGGTGAATGAAAGCCACCTTATTAGTCAAAGTTAATCACTCACTACCGACTGCCTGCAACTCATCCTTGGTTACTACTGTTGACTTATTTGCGATCGCATGCACTTGGGCCAGGATATCCAAAGAGAACGTGCGCAGGGATTGTGCTGCTTGCTCCATTGGCATAGCTGAGATCACATATGCGATTGCCTCAAAAACTTGGGCCTTATCATCTTGAGCTAGCTTGGAGCCTGTGGTGCCGAGGAATGTATGAAGTTGAGGCAAGACATCAATCAGATGCTTATAAGAGTAGTAAGTTTCCAGAACAGATATCAAGTAGACGACGTGCTTACACGACGGCAATCTTGGCAAAGATACTTCATTGCTTGTCCTGCCGCTGCATTCACCTCCCCATCGTTGTCTTCAAAACCAGCGGAGATATACTGCAGTTGGTAAGGAATATATTCCGGATGGCGGTTAATCCATTCTGTATACCGCGAGATGATGAGCAGTGCTGCATATCGAACTCGTGGATGAGGCGGAAGAGACGGAATAAGATCCATGATCTTTGGAACTGCTTTGTCATCAGCAGGGTCCACCTCCGCACCCATAGATCTCATTGCGAACAATGGGGCCTCGATTTTCTGCCAAGAAATCGTGTTGCCTTCGGAAAGAGCCGCAGTGATCATGTCGTATGACGCCAGTAGACAGAGGTCAGCACCAAGGACATAACAACAGTCCTTCAAGGTGTCACCCATTACATGGCGAAAAGAACGGAAATTATCAGCTTCCTGTCCCGTCAAGGAACTAAGCTCCTCCGGGAAATGTAGATGCGATATAATGACACCGACGAGCGCCTTGTACGCATTGAGGAAGGGTGGAGGAACGGATGGCTTTTTGCCAATGCTTTGAGCAAGGCGCATCCAAAAGTGGAACGTAATGGGAACAATGTCCAAATCAGGGTATGCGGAACATTCGCCTATGGCCTCGACGATGGGGAAGAATGTCTCCGGATGATGAAGAATTAGTCCACGGTAAGTCTCCCCAGCCTCTGCAAAGATACGGGCAAACCCCCTTATCTTCTCGGGATCCGATGCGAATTCCGAGAGCTTGGGTCGCAGGGAGATGACCCTCGGGACAATGAACTCAATCACCGGCATATTGTCTTCTACCTCTTGCGTCTCATGTATGAGGTCACAAATTGCGGTAACAGCAACATCGAATAGGGCCTCCGACTCCAACGCTTCAAAAGCAAATGGGAGTAGTGGCGATTCCGTGAGAGATGCAGCGGTAATTTCACCAGCTGCAAGCCAGCTACTGAGACAATGGAAAACCTGCACCTGAATCGCTGATGAAACGCCTGACGCAGAGGAACAGAAGTCAGTGACGTAGAGAATACAACTCTACTCGCCATACCTGTGGCCTGCAAGTACATTGAAAGCAATCCTACGACTCTCGTTGCATTGCTGGTCAGCAATTTGTTCGCCCTCTCCTTGTACTCGTCGTCCTGTTCATGAATGAACTTCTGAATTCGCCACCACCGAGCAGCCACGCGAGGTACTCACCGTCACAGGAATTTTGGTGTTTGTGTTAAGCTCCTCCGGCAGAACTGTGAGAAATTGTAATAGCGCTGGGACGGTAGTGGGATTCCTCCCAAAAGAATCGATCATGTTCTGAACCGGATCCTCCCATCCAGGAAATTGCAGCGCGAGACCCGAGATTGCCAGACAAAGCTGCACCATAATTGTGCGAGGTCCGGTGTGATACGTCTCTAATGCCGTCACCAGCGTATCCCGGAGGCGGAATACGTCTGCGCTGTCCATCTCATGCAGATCATAAATAACCTATAGAACGATCACTCAGATGTATGAGCGCCCGACAAAGAATCAACTCACTTTTGTTCTGAATGTCTGTGCAGCAAAGAGCTTTGCCGCCGCAGGAGCATCCGGTGATAACAGCAGTACGTTGCACGTCGACCACGCATCGCGCTGGAGGAGCAGCGGGGGACCGTCAGGATCGCGTCCAAAGACCGGATAGTTGAGAGGTATTTACGGAATGCTGGAAATCTTGCAGCCATACGTTGGCCTGATCTAGTGCAGCCTTGTCCGGTGCACGACTGAATACATCGAGTGCGGAGAGCACAGCTTGAACAGCAGCCATCACAGTCGTCGAAGTAAAGCAAAGGCAAAAGTCACTTCGCATTCGCCACTCTCTATTTGTGCACGTGATGAGCCAAAAACATTTGTTTTTCTGACCACGATTAATAACAGCGGCTTGGAAGGGGTGAATCTGATGGGTATTGTAAGAAGGCAGGGCCACCCAAGCAGTACAATCAAACAATGGAGCCTTGCATAGAGTAGACGAACTGCCTTGCTACCGAAAAAAACGACCGGACATAAAGCTTGGTATCCGAATAACGAGCGACGAAGTGTTCGAGAAGACACTACCGAAATTAAAACACGACACTGGAGCGGAGAATATACTATAGAAGACATGAATAAGCCGCAGCAGACATAACCAGCAAAGGTCAGCTTGATATAAGTCAAATGACGGGAGGGGGATATATCGCGAATAGAAAGGTAGAAAATTAAGGACGTAGGAAGCCCTTCTTTCTGCCAGTCTGTGAAGTCGTGGTCGTCAGCATGTACATCATGAAAAATCAGGAAAATAACATACACTGATCTTCTCCGGGGTCAACGGGCGGCCATTCTCGATCCGCCGTTTCTTGTCCTCGAGATCTAACCGCTGTTTCTCCAACGCCTCTTTCATCTCCCGATGCCTAGCATATAACTCTTCTTCTGACTGCTTCAACTTTGCCTCCTTTTCTTGCACCTTCTGCTGGAAGACCATCTTCATTTCGGCCTCCATCTTAGCAAGTTTTGCCTCATGCATGATGCGTTCTTCTTGTATCCTAATAGCGGGGCTGGAACGCTTCGGATTTAAAAAAATCATCTCAGAACTATTAGATATTACGTACTTGATTTCCTTGAACACACTAGAATCCTGTATAACGCCCATGCTGAGCAACTTCTCTGTTCGCCAATTCTCGTAGAGGACGTCGTTGGTATACTCCCTGAGTTCTTCCATGTACGTTCGGACAAGCATCTGCCGAAGTTTTACGAAGTCGCAGTGGTCTTCGTTGTCTACCTCGACAACGCCCCAAGGATAGGCACGGCCGCGAACCTTGCGCCCATCCGGAGTGGTGACCTCCTTGTCAGAACCCACTACCGCGAATGGAATCTTGCTCGCGATCTCTTCGGCCTCGGCAATAGCTTCATCGTCCTCATTCTCGTACGTTGGTGCCTGAAAGATATGAATGTTATGGTAGGCAATGTCAGCAAGGATCTATGACAAACTCGTCAGTATTCGAACAAACACATCTATACGGTGCAGCATTACCCGGGCTTTGAATTCCGCGACTTCTTCGTCAGTGAGCGTATCGGCCTTGGCAATGATAGGTATCAAGTTGACTTTGGTATGGAGTTGACGCATGCACTCGACATCAATAGGCTTCAATCTAGAGTCCTGGTCGATGATGGCAACATAATCTAGTAGGGAGCACGTACGAGTGACCGGTCGGTTGGATAAAGTAGAGGCATGCATGAATACGATTATCCGCGATTTTTTGACGGTTGACTCTACTCTCCTGCTCAAGGTAGGAGTCAAATCGAGATTCGATGTTCTCAACAATGGGCCTCCAGCTATAACTGATTTAGCCACGTGATACAATTGCTACGGCACAGCAGCCTACCTCTCATCATTGTTGACGAAATCGCCGAAACCGGGGGTATCAACCACATTGAGACGCAAGCGGACGCCATTCTCTTCAATGTCTGTGGCAGAAAAATAGCGTCAACACGTCGTATAGCGGCAGCAACACAACAGAGTGAGATAGCTCACCGGCGCTTATACTCTCAATAGCGACGGTAGAGGGCCTCTCCGCGCTGGGCGGGAGGGTCTCCTTGGGAGGGTTGATGGTCGTATTAAACAGAGTATTAATGAGTGTCGATTTACCCAACCCGGACTCCCCTGCGAGCAGAGTCAAAGCTGTTTTGGCATATACGCAATATGATACCTACCGACGACCATAGTAGTGAACTGGAAACCCTTCCGCACACTCTTCCTGTGTACCTGGTTCGGTAAGTTGGCGAATCCGACGAATCCCATCAACTTTTTGCGGATAATGGGAGCGGTGCCAGCGTCATTGGAAGTTGTGGGCAAAGATGGGCTGGAACCGTTCATCCTGCTCGAACCATTTGGCGTAAAGGCATCGCCATTGCCTGTGGAAATGTAGGAGTCCGTCATCTTGGGGCTGCTTGTCAGTAGTGAAGAAAAGCCAGGAGGGGGTCAATTTCACCTTGAGGGCGGCAAGGAATGGAAGAGGAGGAAGAATCGGTTGTGGTCGCGAAGAGTGTTGTTGTTTGCTATTGATTGACCTCGCGGCGTCTAGTCGGGGCTTCGGTAAAAGTAGAGTCTGAACGCAGAATCCGCTCTATAACCTTGCTGTACTTCTCGGAATGCTACGTTGTCACTTACCCATTGCACAGGCTGGACCTGAAGTGGTGGGGATGGTTGAAGAGCGGACATTGCTGATTAGGTGCGACCGAACCTCGTCATGTTCTGGTCCGGCCAACCAACACGCTTTGGTCACAACGCGGCCCTCACTCTTATCGTGCATGGACCTTCCACTTCATTGCCTCCACATCACCGTCGAATTGTGAGTGCTATTGTATCAATACCACTTTCACGTCAGCATGTGAGCTGCATGTATATTTGTTCTACGCATACGTTCAAAGTGAGAGCACGAGTCGCATCTGATCACTGAATTGAACATAAATGAGACGTCTGCATGTAAGTCGATACAATCGAAGTTTATCTGAGACACGCTGAGTAATTCAATGATGACAGTACAACAAAATAACACTCAGAGAGCTCCTGGATCTACTTATATGAGTAGACGCCAGCTACATCTGTGTAGCCGTCTAGTCGATCTGTGGGACATGTTTTTCACAGTTTAAGTAATAGTTTCCTAGACTTTGACGTTCTTTACTTTGAGGTCCTCTCTTGCGCATGAGAGGGACGTCATCGTCTCGTTAAATATTTTGATGGTCTCTTGTCTCTTGTCTAAGTTGTGTAATAATTGCAAGCCCTTCGTCTCGCCATTCTGTCGGACCCATGTACCGACTCGCGATGAATCAGTCTTGCAGGACACGTTGATGGAAGCGGAAGCGAGAACGCAAACCTGTTGGTCAGTCAACGTTACAGTATGGATATGTTTGGGGTACTGCAAACAGTGACTTCGGCTTTCGCAGCCGGACACGGCGTATTGGACATGTCAGCTGTGCCCCCTGCTTGTGTGAACAAGCTTGAAGCAGAGCAACGTAATAGCTTGTAGCCTATCATGTTGAAGCAAGTACCATTAACTCCTATAACAAAAACGTGAAGTGCCGTCGACTCTCGGTATGTAGCAAGTCCGTTGTCCGTTGAATGCACGTCCATCTCACCTTGTCCGTACAAGCTTTATTGAGACCGTCCTCCTCCACGCTATAGGTCTCTATTAAGAAGTCTGCCTACGGGAGACAACCGTACAAGTAGATCGATAGTTTTGTTAGGGTACGCTCCGGAACCTCCAAACCTAAGTTTGACTGCACTCCTGCGTTCAATGCTATTATGATGTCTGTAATAACCCGCTAACAGACATACGCAGAAACGTACTGAGCATTCTGACCTACATGCACGCCATGCGGAACTAGCTTAAAGAGCCGAAATCATTTATACCGGCTAGGACAGAATGCATGTATGTCTCTCAAGGGCAGCGTTTCGAGAAGGATGATGATAGCAGATTAAACTGAACTAGACGAAGAGTCGGCGAAAGTATTATCTGCATCCGAGAGTGGCAACCACTCCTTAGGAAAGTCTTTGATGGTAGGTCGGACACCACGGCGAGCATATACATGCTCTCCCTTCCTAGCTTTCCTAGCCTTCGCCGTGAGATGTCGGCTATCAAGGGGAACATCTGCGAAAGTATCTCTGGTGTCCTAGACATAGTGGCTGGTATCAGAGCTAGGATGTTGGTTTCATACAAAGGCACCCACGTTAGCTTCGGTGAGCAACTTATCCAGTGTATCGCTGGCCCACTTCAAGTTCATGGCTGCTTTTGGGAAGTCTTCACAGGCAATTTTAAAGTATCCGTGCTCGCTGTTAGACTCATTCCTATCAACTCCTGAATTTGGCGGAGGATCTGGCGTCCAACGAGGCCCAGCCAGTAACTTGAATTTGTGGATCGCCGCAGTATCCTTTAGAGGTAGCTGGGCAAGGGGCACAACTATGGTGCGCTTGACATCCACAGGGTGCTGTTCGCCACCATACGATATGGAGCGTACAACAAGGGGCATTGACACGCTTGGTGGGATGAAAGGCTTCCGGTACGCTGCGGGGCGCGTCGTAAAGGGCCGGGACACACTAAGAGTGAACACTCACCGACCAGCTTTGGCATTTCATGCTCAATCAAGCGCATATAGTACAGCGCATGACGTTGTTGTTGGAACAACAGGTGACCAGCCATCGTCGTGTCGTCGTCTACGTCCTTCTCGATGTCATAATTTGCCAACTGCTGCATAGCGGCTGTATGAGTGGAGGGGGTAGCTGTACTTGACGCGGTTGGAGACCTGCGTGCCATGCGTGCGACGGCGGACGTATGGATGTTTCGAGCGACGGGGCGGCATGCCCAGGTGAGGACCATTGCTACAGCCACTGTGCGCTGTAGCCGCGACGAGTCGGACGCGCAACGGACGCGAGAGACAACTGAGCGGCTGCAGAAGCGCATAAACACGCGCAAATAACGCCTGCTAGATTCCCAATCTCGATCATCCTGGTCGGCGGACGCGATCACTGCGACCCGCTCGCATGCGCAGACATGGTGGTGAGCTGCTGCTTTCTGCGCATCCCTCCACTTACTGCTGAAGCCATGGAAGCGCCTTATGCTCTGTATAAAAGCAGACCTCGAGAATGTCACCGACCTTGCGCCTGTCTCAGACGCCTTCGAATATTTCTTCCAGGTTTGTTCATCTTGAGTTACAATCTCTGTGCTGCATCTATCCACACCCCTGTAGGTGAAATGTACGAGTTGCAACGAGGTTCATCCAAAGTTTGTAGCCCTAAACCGCTTGGTATGTATGTCTGACATGCACTGCGCCATATGCTCTCATAAGTACAACATTCGTAGGAGGAGCATGAGGTGTCCTCAGGCAAGAACAACACAGCACATTTTGTCTGGCGCTGTGGCTTGTGTAAACGCGAATCATTCGCAAAATTTGAGGCTCGGTCGGTAACCACCCCTTACTCCGCGGATGCGAATGGCCAGTTCGCACCATTTCTGACCGTCGATTGCCGTGGCCTCGAGTTTATAGGATTTGATCCCAGAGTGAGTCCTTGATATGGACTGCATCTTACACATCTAAGGATGACCAGGGAGTGTGGTCTTGTTCTGGACTTGACTCTGGGACCGTATTTGATGAGGTAGACCTCAGAGAAGGGGAATGGGTTGATTACGATGAAAAAGTCGCGTATAGTATAACTCTAGCGTCCTTGAAGTCCGTACTGACCTCTCTGCAGGCTGCCCTCCCCGTAGGAATCTCTAATATCGAGAGCCAATGGTCTAGGGCGTAGTTTTTCGCACGTAAGCCTCGGTGGCTTCCGTGTCCTTTGCGGTTTATGGTTGAAATATCTTGTTTTTTTCACCTCGTGTATAATCACAGTACATGATATTTGGTTGAAATACCTGCTCAGAAATTGTCGCACAGCCGAACGAGTATCCATTCAGTGGTTTCCCAGGCTTTTTTCTCCATGTGCACCGCTGGTACAACTTACTATCTACGGTGGACAGCTTGGGACGCCGGGGCTTTCACTTCATCCTTAGACGTTGTAATTTGGGCGCGATTTATCAGAGAACAAGCCAAGAGAATGTATTGGGCACTAATAATTGGGTAACATGCTACATGAGATTGCTGAATTTGATGAATGTGTGGATGGGATGTAATTGGAACATGCGCATGACAAAAATATAGCGTGGTATGCTAGTGGCAACGAAACACGCAGTGGAATGATAATGTCAGATAACCGCCACAAGATACAAAATTGCGAAGAAAACGAAGGTTAGAAATACCAAACGTAATGCGCCTGACTGTCCGAGAAGCAGCGCAGCCGCAATCACTTGAATCCATTGAAAACCCAGCCCGGCTGGAGCTCAAGATATGGATGCTTCTGTAATTCGGTCGCAGGGGGGCGTTGGTCCGGATCCCTAGTAATATGTGTCAGCAGCGCTTACTACAGGGCAAGTATTTGACTTACATGGCAAAACACTTTTGTCGAAAATCGTCTGCAAGAGGAGATAACTGAATATCCGGTGGTACCGGAGGTCCTTGCTTCGTTTGGTATAACTGTACATTGCCATCCATGAGTGCCATTTCGTGATACGGGGAGAGAGACTTACATGCAACAGGACCGCCATAGCCTCCCGTCCATTCCAAGGTCGTTGACCAGTCCACATTTCATAAACGACACATCCAACACTCCAGATATCAATCTTGGAATTATAACCCCCTTGCTGCGAGTTGATCACCTCGGGAGCCATCCAAAATACGGTACCTTGCATTGCTGTGTATGCGCCAGCATTGTTGATGTCGTCTGTACGTTTGGATATACCAAAATCAGATATCTTACAAACTCCACTTGTCTCGACCAAAATATTATCAGCCTTCAAGTCCTATCAATAAGAGATATCAGAGTGCTGGCGTTTTTATATTTCATCTAGAATTTTACCCGGTGAAGAATACCCTGAGAATGCAAATATTCCAAGCCTGCCAGTATTTGTCCAGTGAACGATTTTGTGACTTGTTCGTCAAATTTGCCATACTTGCGTAAGCAACTGGCGATAGATCCACCAGGTACATATTCAAGGAAACTAGAATGTAAATCATCAGAAAGACGAGGTAAAGTATGTTACGAGAAGGCATACATGCTTAGGAATGTCGGAGTCTCTTCGAATCCGAGGTACTGGACGATGTTCGAGTGGTCCAAATCTTTGAGAGTCTCGCTTTCCAATTTCAAAGCCTCGACAACGGTAACTTGGCGCGAGTCACTCTTGTCACTGGCGGTACGAGGCAGTTCCACTTGTTTCACGGCGATCATCTCTCCTGTTGTCGCATTCAGTGCTAGGTACACCTTGCCATATGTGCCCTTCCCAATGAGCTCCCCACGAACCCATCGGAAAATTGCTGTGGATCGACCAGTCAGTATGACGAGAATAGTATGAAATGAGGGTAACACATACGTGTAGCTGAGGAAGCAGGAGACGAGTCCGAAGGTACAGATGAGAGGTCTGATCTCGCCTGCTCTGAGGTAACTTCTTCTAACCGACTGCCCCATAACTTGGTGTTCCGTTTTCGCAAAGCTGCAGTGACAGACGAAGATCCCAATCGCGACGTACGATTCTTATGTTCCTCTGCAACAACACGGATGGACTTTTTGTGCTTGAAACGCTGTGGAGTTGGGATTGGATTCTCAGCAGATATCGGGGAAGAGCCCCCAGACGACATTTCAATCACAGGTCGATCCAAATCATGCTCGGGGAAATACTCTTCGAGGCGTTCCAAAACGTCTTCAGGGGGCGGACGGGGAGCCCAAGTGTAATCGTACTCGTTCTCAAACCGACTCGTGCGCGCACCCTGATGTTTCAGTGAGGTACCCGACGAGGCATAAGGGCGCTTAGTGGCACGGGAAAGAGGGAAAGGCTGAGGAATGTAATCAGGAGGGGCAGGAAAATTACTCGGCGGTGTTCTCGAGGTATCATACTTGCCAGGCAATCTGGGGGAGAGATTCTCTGTGCTGAGCTGCGGGATTGGCGGTCGTGTTGTACTTTTCGAAGTGTCAGCCGGAGTCTGCTGTCGTGAATTTTGATGACTTTCACCAGCCCTGTCAGGCTTTTTCGCCCACAAGTCATCATCGCAGTCCGATTCGTCGTCGTCGGGCATGTTGGTCGAATTTATCAGAGTTGATGAAGTCGTATAGTCCGACGAGGAAGGCTGATGCGACGATGATGATTGGGAAGGAGGTGACTTGACAGATGCAGACCAAGGCTTCAATGTCCCTTCCATAGCATTCTCGTCAATAAGACTTGCCCAATGTGAGAACTCATCACGTCTCGTCGTAGCAATGGCCTCCGACGCCCCATCCTCTTCAATAATGCCACGCCCAGGACTTATAAGAGACGGCTCCTGCTTAATAGGAGGTGAGCCGACCATCCTCATCTCGTTGTCTCGGCCATCGTATTGTGTTGACGATACCGCCGGACTGCGAGGAGGTGTACGAGGTCCGCGTCTAAGGTGCTTAGAGGGACTAGACGAGCCATTGGGAAATTCGATGCGTTGCTCAGTGCGAGGGACAGGAATCGGTCTAGATAGTGTCGGCACACCGTCGTCACGGTATAATCCGTTTCGCGCAGATGCACTAGGACTCGAATAAGAGTGGGACGGCGCATGTGACGACACAGCAGTGGAAATATCCGGGGTACTGTCAGAAGCTTTCGGATTAGGATGAGTGCGCTGCTGGCGAGGCAGGGTACTTCCTCTATCATCAAGGGCAGAATGTGGCCGCGGGATTGGTTCTTGATCGGGTAGCGATGATAAACCGACAACCCCTCCCCCGAATGATTGACTAGGCGAATAGCCGGGCGAAACCAGGCCACGAGAGGTGGAATATAAGGGCGAAGTCACACCTCTGGTCCCATACGATCTAGCGACTGATATATCACGGCTAGAATCTATATGCACAGTGGGGGTGACTTCGGTAGTGGATTTGGACGAAGTGGCCTGCGCGGTAGTGCCGCTCATACCATTGCTACCACCAGTAGATGGTCGGGTAACCAAAGGAGGAGCTGGTTGTGAGGGCCGAGTACGCCCAGGCACAAGACTCGGAGGATGCGGCGGTGATTGTTGCTGCTGCTTGGACGCAGATCGCAAATCATTGAAGCTTTTTAACGTGCGTAACACGGAGGGCGACTGTGGCTTTGACTCAGCTTTACCAGGTCCCACAGGCTCTTTCCAAGTAACAGCCCAGGTTGGCGGAACCTGACGACCCTGGAGTTTCTTGCTATGACTACGGGACTCGCCTGATCCTCCAGATGCTGCAGCGCTACGAAGGATGGGGTTAAACCTTGGAGAAGCCCCATATCGCGGAGAACGTTCTTGGGGAGTGGTAGGTCGACCTCCTGCATAATTGCTGACCGGAAGATCGCCCGGTACCATCGTCCATCCATCAACCGAGACCTCGAAGTGATTCTTCCCGCGACGAATCCCTCCGTCCTTGCGTGACTGGCCATCTCTTCGCTTCGAGCGCTCTCGGTCCTGTCTATCACCTTCCTCCTTTTCTTGCTGCGCACGACGTGGCCGCTCAGAAGGCGAAGTGATAGTGTCGCTCGTAGCACTGTCGGGGCTAACCACAGAAGGTATGGTCCTCCGTAAACCCCGTTCGGAATACTGAGTCTTCTCAGGCGGTAAGACAAGCGGAGCAGTTGGCACAAGCCCACGAGGCGTATCAGCGCCCATCTGGGGCGACTCCGCTGTGGCATAGGGAAACGTGAGGTCAGGAGAGTGCATGCCATTTGGAGACTGGGGCCGGTGGGGGACTGTGTGCGTAAGCCTGCTCTGCGGTAACCTACGACGCGCTTCCCAGTCAGGATGGTCCAAATCGTCAGATCCGGACGCTTCATAACCAGTTACAGCTTCCTGCAATAGCTGCTCACTAGCCGACGACTGACTTCCATGTCTTGACCTTGAACGCTTCCTCACGGGATGTAAGGGATACAAACCGTGTGGTGGTAGGACAGGAGGAGGGACGGTGAACACCGTAGGTGAGACTAGAATAGGATCGTGCGAAGGCTCGTGGACTGGGGCAGCCGAGTGAGCAACTAAAAGCTTAAGAGACCCTTTGTCATCGCCTTGCGCACGGTAAAGGTCGAATAGCTGCTCATCCGTCAGCGCTTCACCAATCGCGTATCCTTCAATTTCCGTGCGATAGATCGAGTGGCGAAGCTGTTCTTCATCAGGTATCTGTAGCTATGCGAAGATGAGAAAGCAGTTACAGGCTATAGCTCAAGAAGAGTACCTTAGAGAAGATACATTCTCGTATGAACGCAGGAGTCATGGCACCACTGACATCAACTTTAGAAAAGTTTTCCGAATCTTTAGTAACAAACAATATAATGCTCTCATTCGGATTGGTACTATATACCAGGTTAGAGTGTGGTGCATAACAGTCAGGCGTAGACGTTGTGGGAGACTGTCCGTGTCATCAGCTATCACATCCCCCTTCTGATAACTAGAAACTACACGCACGCTGGAGGGCCTGCTGTTGTTGGATGATCGGCGGCCATGACCTGATCGCTGCAGGTGGGATTTGAGGTTAGGGAATTTGATATGGCGAGATGTGGAGGGAGGCGTTCCATCACTACGGTCTTGAGTCTGTAAGATTGTTGTGTCTTGTCTGATAGTACCCTCCCCGGATAGATCTACAGGGGGGAGGGATTGCCCCGGTGTACTTGGAGGAGGGGTTGACTCAAACGCAGGCGAACTGGTGCTAGAAGGGGATGAAAGAGCGGGATTGGACGGATTGGACCGCGAAGATGGATAGCAATGTCTTTGCTCTGGGATGATAGTAGTGAGCGGTGGAGGTATATGAGGTGCAGAAGAGCTCTGCGATCTGTCGCCAATGATAGCATGGGACGGACTGGGGAGAGGACGAAAATGATAGTTGTTGGGAGCGGGCTGTGAGCTGGATGCTTGCCCGTGTTCATCGTCGCTACTCGATCTTTCTGGACTTGGATTGTTGACGACGAGGATACGAGGCCTAGGCTTTCGGTTCGGAGGGAGGGCGGACCTGGTGTCGTCGGACATGGTGCCGGCGAGGCAGACGGTGGAACAAGGGGGAGACTAGTCGTACAATGAAGGAAAGAAAAGGAGGGCGTTGACGGAGACCAGCCAACGTCAACTTTGTCGCGGGCACACGGAGTGCAGACGACCCAGGTGGAGGACAAAGCCACGGACGAGAGAGCGTCGTCGAGCTAAACGACGAAGGGCGACCGAGCAAGGCGTTGCGGCCAGTGGCAGGCACTAGAGCTTGCCGGCGGCGCTGACTAAGCACGGGACAACCGAGGGTCCGCCATCGACCAGCGCCAACGAACACTCATCCTCTTTCACCGGGGCCGTCGCCCGTGGCCTCGTCTGCGGCTTATCACTCTCACTCAGCCCCTTCTCTTCCACGTCGAACACACCCTCAGGTCGCGCAGCTTTCATATCGCCCATATCGCCGCCTCAAGGCTGCCATCCCCCGTGGCAATACTCATCAGCAGCCCATGAGGTCTCCTCCCGCACCCTCCACAGGTGTCCTGCTGAAACCGGGGCGCCTTCACCTAGCCCCGTGACAGTACGACCGTCGACATTGCGATTCTCATCATTCACCCTCCGGATCAATGCGAATACAGTGAAAGATCCAGATAAGCAGTGCACAGCGCCGTTGCCATGAAAACAGTACAGTCTCCGATAGAGCTCCACCACCAAAATCACTTGCTCTCGTATGTAAATGACCCGTCCGACATGTTCAACTAGATATACGTGAGCGCGGCACACGAAATTATTCTTCAAAGTACCATACCTTGGGGAACTCTGCACGCTCACTCAGCATGCTCTCTCCCCAGGAGAGCACTTTGAGCAAGCCAATCAGCTTCGCTTCTTTGCCCTGACTAAGACTTTCCAATACAGCTGCATTCACTTCCCCTGCAGTCTTCATTCGCTGCGCTGGCGATAAAAGCTCGCTAATGGCCGTAGGTGCAAGTGGCGAGGACTGAAATGCCAACAGTGTCATGGTTCTTTCGAGTTCAGACAGAAACTCCGGGCTCTCTTCCCCTCTCGGAGCCAACTCTTCTTGCGCAAATTGAAGTGCTTCGGTAATATTGCCCTCACGGATGTATTCAATAAGTTTCTGTTGTTGCAACTTAAAATATAGCGCTTGATTTGTATCCAGTATCTGACACATTAGGTGTTAGCTTGACTCTTACAGAAGCCACAACGGAAATGAAGGATATCATATTGAAGACTGAAGTTTTGGTGTAAAATTCTCATCACCGACCCGGATAAGCCCGGGTCTGAGAGTGGTGCATGAAAGGTTTAATCATCCGCATCGCTCTGCCCCATAACAAGAAAGCTAGAGGTAACTAGATGCTCACCTCGGGATTCAAGTCATTTATTCGTGTAATCGCGTCGCTGACATCCCCGCGATGTAGCGCCTCGCGAATGTTCATTCTACTCTCGATGCTGTCAAAGTCCACGGGTGACTCCATCCCAGTTTCCCGGCTGAATTCCTCCGCAGCGCTCTTGTAGCCCTCGATAACAAGATAGTCCATGACAAGACGATTCAGGTCACTAGGGTGAGAATAATCAGACACTATACAGGGCGCAAAACGTGCAGGACTCGTAGGAAGATATCAGATAATACATGCAATTATTCAAATCTCCATTTTTCGAAGAAGTCAGAGAGATTCCCAATTAAACATTCATCATATACCCCCCACATGGATGCGCGAAATAAAACCTGAGAATTTGACTCACTGTTTAGTGACATGGACATCATGGAGTCGCCTTTCCCACTCTTCCTGATACACTTTCTGCATGAACTAGTTACATGAGCGTGAAACTTGCGCGCAATGCATAGAGGAGTGACGCCAACGTACCGTGGAGGTTGCAAAAGTGTGGTAGCGAAGATTTATGGAGAGCGGTACTTTAGGGCAGACATCCCGAAGCACATATGTTCAAGCGCCAGTGTCACACAAGCGCCGGCGAACATGCATGTGAATATATAAGTCCCAGTCAACAAATACTTGCGTTTCGGCTCACAGATATCGTATGGGGTGGAACCTATATAGATTTCGGTCACTACTTCTACCGGGCACGAGCGACAGCCCTGTTTATGTACTCATGGAGCTAAGAGATTACAAGCAACGACGCAACTGAACCATGAGTACTGAGTACGTCTCAAAATTTGAAACATATGCAAGAAGTACATCTTCCTGAACGGCGAAAAACCTTCAACGCCAACTCCCAACGAGCGTATCGATCGACACACATGGTCGGTTTCAGACAAAAGGCCTTTGGATGTGTGTGCAATATCATGACTTAGACACGATGCCTCCAGACTTGAGGATGTCAAAGAAATCATCCTGTCCAATGGATACTGCGGGGGTAGCATAAGATAGATAATGGCACTTAGCTTGTGTTGCCACTTACATTCTTTCTCTCTTCCCACAATAAAATCCTTCTCCTTGCCCCGCTTGCTCGATCTCTCCTTTCCAATTTTAGGTGCAGGTAAAGTAGGCTTTCCGGAACCTCTTTGCGCCTTTGCTTCATCAGCCGCAACAGAAGACGCAGCCTGGGTATGTTGTATTGCGTTAAAAAGTCTGACCACTGGGACAGAATGAGAATGACATCAAACCCGCTGATTGTTAGCTAAAGATACGCACCACCCCTTTGAGCAACCTTTCTCAAAACCCTCTCGCCCTCTCCTCCCCAACCACCAATGACATCTCTGATTCTCCCCTTCTCTTCTTTTTCCTTTTTTTCGACTTGCAATATCTTCCGGCCCTGCATCTCAAGCTTTTCATCATTGCGCTTTCTCGAAACCGATGGCTTAAGTGATAGGGGCAATCCTGACGGTGCATCCGTGCTCAACAGAGATTGTAGAGTCGCACCAAATTGTGTCACATCTGTAGCCCGGCGCTTCCGCTTCAAAGTTTTCTTCGATTTTGCTCTCTTTGCCTCAGCAATTTCATCCTCCGTATCCGGAGAGGAACTGGCTTCACTCCCTGATGGCACATCGGAGCTAGAAGCACCGACAGAGGCTGCATCATTATCGCTCTGCGGACTAGCTGTTGGTAATGATTGGTCGTTCGAGATTTTCCGTCGCTTGGCAGCGAGCATAGAGAAGTCGTGATGAATAGAAAATGTGGATTGTTGCGAGAGTGTGTGCGGAGACTACAGAACTGCGTCCCAACGGACAGAGCGGGTAGGCGGACAGGTACTTGAAAATCCGAAAGAAGCAAGTGTGATCGAGTTCAGCCACCGACTTTTCATAGGCGCCCGCAAAGCCACAGGATACTACGGTCAAGTTCTCGTTTAGACCAAGCGTACTGACGGGTCAACTTCCTGTGTCTGCCTTTCTCCTCTCGGATAGTTTTCTGGAGCTCTATCTTCTGCTTTCGTATCACTCGATTAGAATAGCTCGCTCAGTGGCGGAGTCGGATCCCGTTGCTGCGTGGTTTCCAGCCACCCCGACTTGAATAGCAATCTCCACCAACGGACACGCGACCACTCGTTCCAGCGATCTGTTACACTCATTTTGGGATCATACGATGGTTGTGTCGTCTGTTGCTCCAGTCGACCTGACTGTAGAACCGGATCTGCAGCCTCTATACCCGACACCATCACAGATTGCCCATCTTCTGTCGCCTTATGTTGGGCTCTCACCGCAACAGAAGGCAGAACTGGTGTCTCATAGCTTGACACGCGCCTGCCAATTTGGAGACATGCTACTTCTCTCTCATCTGCTCACCGATCCTAATGCCCATCCGTACGTGGACCTCGGGAAGCAGGACGAAGATGGCCTCGGTCTCATCAGTGCAACTATATTGGGCTTTGGTTCTGAATCGGAGCGAGACATAGAGCGAGAGGAATGTGTTAGGTTGCTCATATCTGAGGGATGTGACGCAAACGTTGCAGACAAGGGTCTGTTGTTGGTTCTAATTCCGTTGGAACCACGAATTAATATTGAGATGGCAGCTGGTTGGAGCCCCCTTCACTACGCTGCCCTGGTTTCTCCCCCGACTCTAGTCTCACACCTTCTGACGCATGGTGCATCACCCTTTTCCTTGACTCGACGCAAACTCACGGCTCTTGACATTGTTACCGCACATTCCACTGTTCCCGGAAGGGAGGATGTTTCCCTTCTACTCGAGGAAGCAATGCGCGAAGAAGGGTGGAAGGGTGGAAGGAAGGAGGAACAACGGCGGTTACTGGAGAAGCGGACCCGCCGGCTAGGGAAGAGGAAAAATGTCCAGCATGACATTGAGAAGACATTAGACATTCCCTCAAGCTGGTGGGGTGGACCTCCAGAATCCTCCTTAGATTCGGATTCGGAGGATGAAGAAGAGATGTTGGATGAGACCTGCTACGTAAGTAGTCCTTCTAATTCACCGACGTGTCCTTGACATGCCAAGTAGACACCACCACCAGACTATACCTCCATGCTGGTCTTCTCTCCAATGGCATTGCCTGATATCTTCCAATCACTGATCGTGTCTTTCGAACCATCCTTGAGGAACTCCGAACCAGCAAATGCCCTGTATATGCTGGCCCGATTTGCTTGTCTTACCTGTGATCATAATTGGCTCGAGGACTTAATTATTGGAGCAACAGATACCATCGAAGAAACTTTCTTTGTAAGTGTATTGCTTTCATCTTGGGTCAAGTGGCCAAACAGTACCTAGAACCGGGCGGACGATGCACCCACCCTCGTTTTCTGGCTTTACAATACCACCGTTTGGTTGCACCTCATGCGATGCGACAATGCCATCAATGAGACGTGCGAAATGCTGGGGCAGTTTGCACATATAGAGGAGATTCTTAATTCGGTCTTTGGTGAGTTTTTGAAAAAAACAGTACTCTTCTGGGCTTGATAGTGTATGTCTCTCAGTGTTCATCATACGCCTTGCGGAGAGGAAAATCGATCAGCTGCTTGACGCGGCACTTCTTGATTACTCCCCCCTCTCGACTGAGTTTGAGTCGATACAATTCGAGTCCGAGTGGTCCTTTCTTCGTTCTTTTGGAAATAAGAAAAAGACAGCCGGTCAACCGCCTAGAGGTGGCGCGCCGGCTTCGCCGAATAATGGCAGCAGACCACCCTCTCCCCCTCCGCCGACGTCGACATCGCCTACAAATTCGCGTAGTTTTGCTTCGCTACGGCAGACCTTCACTCGTGCACGTGGTACCTCTAGCTCCGCACCCCTACAGTCTCTTTTTGCAGATAATTTTGCTCCCTCGACTTCCCCCCAGCCATCACCGAAAGACATTACTGCATTTATTACAGCTCTCCACACCCTTCTACATCTTTCTGGGATCAATCCCGCTATGATAATCCAGCTATGGTCCCAAGTTATGTACTGGACAGCATGTAAGGCGTGTTTCATTCATGGTCAGTAGACTGAGTAACATGTAAGCAGGTGAGACATTCAACCGTGTTCTGACACGGAAGAAGTACTTGTGCCGGTGTGTTCATCTCAAAATAATCATCTGCGTGTGCCATATTGACACACATTCGCAGATCGAAAGCTGTACAGATTAGTATGAACCTCAGCGTTCTGGAGGAATGGATCGGTGAGATGCAACTGCCCCGTGGCGTTGTGTCACACTTCGCTCCAGTTAAGGATCTCTTAACTTGGCTGCAGGTAAGACCCCCGCAGCTACGCCCGGTCCATTCTGCTCAGAAAAATCAGGGACTCTCCTCCATTACTGAGTTCCCTAATCTCATCGCTACGGTACAAACCCTCAAAAATTTGAATCCGTTGCAGGTACGACCATATACTACTACATCGAGTGCTATGTGCAGTGAACGGCTGACCTTATTCTGAAGATGCGCCGTGCTGTGCGTGATTACAGATACGAAGTAAATGAACCCCGAATGACCGAAGAGTGCAGCCAATACCTTGCACAATTGCAGAAAGACTGGGAAAGGCATCGCATTAAGCTGGGCGTTGAAGCTCTGCGCAAAGAGGTATGTGCGATGACTGAGTTTTCAACCTTGTTTCATACTTCCCTATCTTAGATCGGAGAGCGGGAACGCGAGCGAGAACGAGAAGAAAGCGCCAGTGTGTCTCCGTCCTTGGACGAAGGATCAGAGAGCCCAGCGCCAGCGCCGCCCCCAGAGAGCTGGGTTGCACAACGAAGCATCGACGCGCTATTCGATCGGACATGGGAGAAGTCTTCGTGGGAACCTGCAAAAGCTCCAGAGTCCCTCGGGGAGCTCATGGACTCTAGATTCATGCTCCCCCTTCTGCTTCCCTCAGATCCTCGAATGCTAGGTGCCGTTCCCGTCAGCCGGTCGGATCTCAAAGAAAAGCGACATACCTCGCGGACAAGCCAGGACTCCACGACGAGTCGAGCAAGTTTTGGAGGGCGTGGCGCCATGGAATGGAAGCTCAAGAGCAAGAAATTGCGTGACGTCGGGACGAGCACACTGCGATATGTTGACGGACACCGGGCGATAAGACGGTGGACACGGCCGGACGAAGGGGAGGAAGATGACTGGGACCAGCCACCGCCATATTCGATGGATGATATTCAGCCGGCTCACGGAGATCTGTCGGTGGACACATCGATGCATTTTACACCTCTGACTCGAAAACCGTCTGTACGAAGCCGGGGTCGAGCTAGTGCCATCAGCGACCCGATGGACAGTGAGTGAAACTGAATGGGACTTGATTTGGGGTGATGTACGATGTCTATACTGCTGGATATGTCGGAAGGCTGTAGAATAGTTGTTATCTTTTGCATCTAATTTATCTTTGTCTGACCTGTGACTCGTGAGGAGCGCGAGCGGCAGCAAGCAGCCATCAGATTGAGATTCAAAGTCCGCGGCTTGGCAGCTGATCAAGGTCGGAACTGTACTGCCTGCCTCCGCGCCTCGCTTTCTCTTTCCTCTTCCGTGCTCAGCCCTTTTCTCTTCTCACTCGTTCGACACGATAATGACCTCTGAGGCCGCATTTCCAGTTCGTCAACACTCTAATTACTCCATTAATCACAGCAGCAGGTCTGCGCGGCCCGGTCACAGCTACAGTGGGTCAACTGCGCAATTACTTCCGAATGATGCAAACCACTCAGAAAACACGGACCCTTACGATGAGCCATACAATCCTGTATATGGGCCTGCGTACGCGAAGGACTACAGCTACAACCCTGACGGCTACAACTCGACCGACAGCGTCACTCTCGGCGGAAAGCCGAATGATGCTGCCAATGCTGGACCCGGCGAACTATACGGAAAGCCAGAGGCTTACCATGCTCAAGGTGTGCAAATATTGTGTTGAACAATCTGCACGCGTTTCTTACCACCTTTCGCAGAGTATTCTGGGCCGTTTACTGTGCCCCCTCGACAGTCACCTCTGGAGGAGCCCAATATGTTTCAGAGATACTTCGGTCTTTATCCTCTTGAGCAGCGCATATCAGACAAGCGGCGTGGGGTTGGTGTGCAGAAGCGGGCATACGTCGGTGTGTATTTTGTTATTCCGAGGACGAGTGAAGAAGCTCAGCTCAACAAATACCAGTCTGGATGCTTACTCTCGCTATGCTCGGTGTTTTGATTTACGAGTTGGTAGTGAACGACAAAGCACAAGGCACGCCAATATCGTTCAAGGTATGTGAACGTTCATTTGAGAAAGGCACGTAACAAACGTTCCAGTGAAGCCAGCGGTCAATCCCATGCTCGGTCCATCCGGGAGCGCACTGATCAACCTTGGTGCGCGTTTTCCGGCGTGCATGAAAATAGTCTCGGGTATTCCTCTCAGCACAGAGCTTCCATGTGCGTTCTAGATGAGCGGGTTGACGAATCTTTACTGATGTTCTTGGCATAGGCTTGAACGACACAGCCAATCCCGTTACTTCAGCATGTCCCCTAGAAGATGTCTGTGGCTTCGGGGGCTTTCACGACGAGACGCCGAATCAATGGTTCAGGTAGCCATTTTTCGCCCGTAAATCAACCGTACACTTGGCCCATAATTATTTTCAGGTTCATTACACCTATATTTCTTCACGCGGGAATAATACATTATTTGTTGAATATGTTGGCACAGACGACTGTCTCTGCGCAAGTAAGTACATTTTCCGTCTCTTTCCTGCGTTTGACATTTACATTTATAGGTTGAGCGGGAAATGGGATCTGTTTTCTTCCTTGTCTTGTATATCGCATCTGGAACGTTCGGGTGGGAGCGTATTTTCCTAGCATGGCAAAGGGAAGCTCATGTCTCACGTAGGAATGTCCTGGGGGGGAACTTTGCCCTCGTTGGGCAGCCGTCTGTTGGAGCTAGTGGCGCAATCTTTGGGACTACGGCGGTCGGTGTCATATGCTATTCTGCCCCAGAATCATGGACTGAATGGTCACTGCAGATTGCATGGATTGATCTGTTCGCGCATTGGAGATATCAATATCGACCAGGCACGAAGGTGGGGTACTCTGGTCTAGGCCTTGGTCATTGAGTTCTGACGTCGGCATTAGCTTGCATGGATGGTTGTCGAGCTTGTCATCGGTGTCGGTCTGGGATTCATTCCATGTGAGTTACGTCTAGCCCGGTCGTCGCCACATGATCTGATCTGTTTTCATAGACGTCGACAATTTTGGTTAGATCATATGGTTGTTTTTTTGGCTAGTCAATACATGATGCTGACTATAGATGTCTCTTAGCTCACCTCGGCGGACTGCTGATGGGGCTGCTCGTGGGAATGGCGTTTTATCCCATCATCAGTCCATCGGCGAGACATAGAACTATAGTTATTACTCTCAGGCTCATTGCTATACCAGTCGCCATCGTCCTTTTTGTCGTCCTCATTCGCAATTTCTACACGTCAAATCCATATGCAGGTATGTGTGCCTAGAATGCCGCTCCTCGATTCGTGACTGACGCCGTGAATAGCGTGTTCATGGTGCCGATACCTCTCATGCATTCCTACGTCTTCCAACGGCTATTGTAAAGGGTATGTTTCTTCGTTCGTCTTTCACACGTGAACAGCGTTGATTGATCGATTATCAGGACTGGTATGTTCCCGGCTCATTTGCTTACAGATTACAGGTCATGACATTTTGTGCAGGCTTATCGTCGTCCTCTTCGGGATCAATCTGAGCGCGCGGAGTTTTATCCGCTCATATTTCGCGTGCGCCATAATTTCTGTCCAATAATAACTTCAGCGGACTTTGTTCATGATACCGCGCACGGCCTTGGTTCTGTTCAGTATATTTACGTGTTGCGGCGGACGCTGTTGGACTGGACGTTGTCCGCATAATGTTCGCGTCTCTCGACGAGTCCCGTAAAGTTATGTACATCGATTGCTCTTGCGTTATAAGTAGACACAGCTTCTAGAGTGGAAGCACGCACCATACCTTGTATGGTTCGTGCTAGTTTTGCCCGTAATTGCACAGCGCACATTTTATAATGCCGGATTGCTCGTGAACAGCACGTTACGAAAACGCAGCATGCGGAGGGATATCAGAAGCGGGGCTGTCTACAAATATGTGCTCAGGCCGATCGCGATGAAGGGAAGGCCCTGGATCTACTGGGGTCGCGCCGCCAGAGTCGGAGACGGTCGAATCCTTTGTATTGCTGCGCGAGCTCGCAAAGTCCATCGTGGGCGTGGGCAGTGCGTGGAATGCGGTTAGCGCCTTGGACAGCTCGTCGAGCTGTCGCGGCGCGGGCGGGCGTCAGCGTAGCGCAGGAGACGGTGGCGGGCGGGCGGGCGGGGGTACGTACCTTGTGCATGATGCCGTCTATCG